ACCGAGGTGTCTGGATATTAGGTAGATCACATAGTTGCCTATACCATTTGTTCCACTTGTCTTGCAATTCTGGTGGGATAATTTCATCCCAATCAACACCTTTCAGCCATAAATCCTGAAACAGAACTTTTGCTTGAATAACATATGGAGCAAGAAACCCAACAGGATCGAAGATTTTTGAAGCAGCTTTTAAAACACAACGTTTTGTTTGGTCATTTGACTGGATGAAATCAATAACGTCTTGTGCATTAAAACAGAAGATATCCTTAATTGTATCCCATTGAAGTCCAAGAATCTTTGAGGGGGAATCACAGTCAGGCAATTTAAAGCTAACGAAGTTGTCACTTGATTTATACTGGTTTTTTACAGTATCCGAATTAGAATTCCATTTGGTCAAAGTCATTGATGCCTTTTTCATTATATCATTGGCTTCATGATATATCTGTATAGCTTCCTCCTCCGTATCTGATCCACAAATAAAATCGTCAACATACATGAAGTTTTCTAACATTTCTACAGTTCTGGGATGGATGTCTTCAAATTTCTTTATATGATGCTTAATGCAAGCGCTCAGCAAAAATGGACTTGATTTTGCTCCAAACATTACACGACACATCCGATAAACTTGAATTCTCGGATTGCTCAAACTTGAATTCTCATCAATCCACAAAAATCGCATTGAATCCCGATCTTCAGGTGCAACAGAAATTTGCAAAAACGCTTTCTCAATATCTGACGTAAATGCAATTCGATGAAGTCGAAAATTTATTAAAACTTTCAAAAGTTCAGGAAGAAGATTTGGTCCTTGTAGTAAATTATCATTTAGAGATTCATGATTTTTTTTCCTTTGAAAAAGCATCATAAACAATGCGAAGTTTCGTAGAATTATGATCTTCACGGATGACAGCACGGTGAGGTATGTAGTAAGTTCGTCTCCCAGATGGAGTACCAAGATCGACCTTTTCTATGATTTCTTCCTTAAGCTGATAGTCAATCACTTCTTTATATTGCGCATAAAAGTTCAAGTTTGATTTAAATTGTTCGATCAGATTTAAAAATCGTCTTTCAGCATTCTTAAAATTGTCTCTTAAAGTCACATTCTGATCTTTCCATGGAAGTCTAACTTCGTATCTATCACCCTTTTGTGTAATCGAGTTGTTAAATATTTGCAAGGCCATTTCATTTTGTTCTTCGTCAGAAATATTTTTAATTCCTATAGATTCAATATCCCAAAACGATTCGACGCTTTTTAGAAGTTTCTCTTCTACACTTACGTTTAAACACGCATCATGGATTTGAAAAGTCTGATGAAGGAAAATTTGCCTTGTATACACCACCCAAACAAGGTTTTCATCGCTACGGCATTTCTGTTTATCCTTTTATTTTTCTTCGCTTGCTATTTTCCACATAATGTCCGCGCCGATTAAAACGGAAATATGATTCATTCCATCGGCGCCGCCGCAGTCTGTCAAAGTGACGCCGAATGCTTGGAGGTTGGATTTGATTTCTACATCTGGTACTCGTATATCGGCATTTGTTATGACTGGTACTTCAATGACTTCGAGATTTATGGATTTTTCAGGGTCATTAATATTTCGGAGCGTAAGTTCAACTTTCTTTCGACGCCAATGTTTCCCGTTCTTTTCACCGAAGGTATGCAGATTTAAAACAGTTTCTCCTTTCACTGGTAACTGTAATTTTCTTGATAAATCTTCTCGAATTGCAGAGATTTGGCTACCGCCGTCAAGAAGACATCTCACAATACAATTCTTATTTCTGCCCTCAGCCACAGCATACACCGTTTGAAGCATAATATTAGATCCAGTTTTGGCAGAAGAATTTTGAACAATTTCCGCCGATGTTTCGGTTTCCTTATTTTTTGCACTGGAGACAGCTGATGTGGGATTCACACACACACACTTTCATGATGTTTACCGCGGCACTTTTTGCAGGAAAACTGTTTGTTCTTACAGTTGATAGCTAAATGTTTACATCCAAAACACAGAAAACATTTTCCTGTACGTTTCAAAATGTTTCGTTTCTCTTCAGAGTTCACCTCAGTACATTTATATTTCGTATGATCTTCTTTGTCACAAAATATACATTTGTATCCAATTGTTGATAAAGCTGAAGCAGTCGGAACTTTCGGTTTATAATTCGGATAAACTTTCGTGCGTTGTTCATTTTGACGAAAGTATGGTTTCTGATTCGTTTTCGCAGAGTTCATTAAACTTGCAGCTTCTCGACAGTTAACTTCCTTTTTTAAGAATTCTATAAGTTCCTTTATATCAAATCCTGCTTCCATATTTCGACTTCGATTAAATTCCAAATTTAATTCCTCTGGAAATTTCTGCAAAATGATAGGACAGAGAATATTTCCATAACTTCCAGAAGTAACGTTTAACGATCCTAAACTTCGAATGTTGACTTCGCATTCATCGTACAGCTTATGCAGTGCTTTAACATTTGAAATGTTTCCCACTGGTTCAAGGGATAATAATTTATTCATATGCGAGGTGATAACAACATCTTGTCTTCCAAAACGTTCTTTCAATATTTCTACTGCGGAATCATAATTCTGGTCACTTAAAGCGAAACCGGAAATGGCAGCTAAAGCATTACCTCCAAGTAAGGATTTTAGGTACGCAAATTTTTCAGTTTTTCTCAATCCACTATGATTATGAATTGTATTTTCGAACTGGTTCCAAAAGTCTAACCATTTACACGAATCTCCGTAATAAGTTCCGATTTGCAGACGTGGTAACTTCACTGTTTTCGTTTCAACTGGAAGTGCAACATTAGCCGTTTCGTTCTGATGAACTGTTCTAGAAGATTCCGAATTCTTCTTCAAAAATCGTTGCATTCTTCCTCTCCATATAACAGTTTTATCCTGGTATTCTTGACTTAAGGTAACTTCATTTTCAATCTCCTAAGGTAACTTCATTTTCAATCTCCTCCGAAGTTACTTTCGTTTCTATTTCTGAATCTAAACTTTTCAGTTCATTGATTTTTTCAATTAACTGTTCATATAAATCCTCGATTATTTCAATTTTCTCATTTAGCGGAATATTATTTGCTAAATTCGATTCGACTTTGGTTATCAGTTTCGTAGTTAATTGTCTAACAACCGATCGTTTCTTTTTCAAATTTTCAAGAACGCCCTCCATTTTCGAAATATTCAGTCTGTCGATTTTCTGGTTCGTAATAATCCCGGTTTGCAGGCACCATAAACAAAATATGTGTAAATCTCTAATAAATCAGACTGGATCGCAGTTAAAGTAATAAACAGAGGAGCGTTCTTCCACACAACATTTATTCACGAACACCAAAGACGAACTGATACATATACATAATTGACATCACAGTTTCTTTTTACAAACAAACACTACCGCCATCTATTGGCGATCTATGGATACACAATCCTAAACTAACCACTGAAAATTTGAAAACTATTTTTTAAAGTTTTAGAAAGAAAAAGGCAAAAAAAAAGCAATTTCAGATTACCTGCTCATGAAAGCTGTAACTTAAGTTACTTCATAGAATTATGAACAGTTCTAAAGTTTAAGTGGTGCTAAGCCTAACGAGCCCGCCGTTTGTTTACATCTGAAACTTTTACTAGAATACTGAATTAAGTTCGTGCTCCAATTTGTCTTTTTGTCCTGTGTGACCAAAAGTTTAGTTTAAACTTTGTGCACCGAAAATTTTGTCTTTTCAAAAGCTGGCCGAATCGCCTGCTTTTGGGAAGAAAATTTCGTACAAGAAAGTCATGCGATATCCACATGAGATGTTTTAAAATTAAAATATAGCACAAGTATTTTTAATCAGCATTTTAAACGATCACATTCGGAGAAATCCAAAGAGCTATTTAAGTTATACTGCTCATTTTAAATATATTTTACTGCAATTGAAGTTTTTATAAATGGGCGTGAATATTCATAAATATTTTCCACCATATAATTTTAGAGCTATGTTGGTAACAAATTAGTTTTATGGTCATTATAATTCCTAAGTTTCCTTTCTTCTTAGACATACCGGGTGATCAAAAAGTCAGTATAAAATTGAAAACTTAATAAATCACGGAATAATGTAGATAGAGAGGTAAAAATTGACACACATACTTAGAATGACATGGGGTTTATAGGGTTTTATTAGAAAAGCAATAATCTGATCAGAAAAGCAATAATTAGCATAACAAATTAAGACAAAGCAAAGATGATGTTCTTTACAGGAAATGCTCAATATGTTCCCCATCATTCCTCAATAGCTGTAGTCGAAGAATAATATTGTGAACAGCACTGTAAAGCATGTCCGGAGTTATGGTGAGGCATTGCCGTCGGATGTTGTCTTTCAGCATCCCTAGAGATGTCGGTCGATCACGATACACTTGCGACTTCAGGTAACCCCAAAGCCAGTAATCGCACGGACTGAGGTCTGGGGACCTGGGAGGACAAGCATGACGAAAGTGGAGGCTGAGCACACGATCATCACCAAACGACGCACGCAAGAAATCTTTCAGGCGTCTAGTAATATGGGGTGGAGCGCCATCCTGCATAAAAATCGTACGTTCCAGCAGGTGTTTATCAGCCAGGCTGGGGACGATGCGATTCTGTAACATATCGGTGTACCTCTCGCTCGTCACGTTAGCAGTTATAAAACCAGAATCACGCATTTCCTCGAAAAAAAAAAAAGAGGCCCGAATACAGTATTTTTTTAAAACTTTTTTTTGGTTCTAACAAAACCCCATGTCATTCTAAGTATGTGTGTCAATTTTTATCTCTATCTACATTATTCCGTGATTTATTAAGTTTTCAAATTTATACTGACTTTTTGATCAGCTGGTAGATAGATATTTGTGTTTCATAACTTATAATTTGCAATCTGGATACGATACCATTTCAGTATTCGTGAAGTTTTACATGTTAACTTCAAAAACGTCAACGCATTTAACAATTAAATGCCTTCAGTATAATATCAACTTAACGAAATTTTAAAATTCTTACCTGCAACTGCCTGATATGTATTAGGCTTCATTAGTTCTGCAGGCAAATTCCAGCCATTTAGATCCTTTGTCATTAAATTGCCTTTCACATCGAAGGATTCCAAAATTTTAGTACCATGAACAATGTTTTGGTGTGTATTGTCTTCCACCTGCAAAGAGGAAATAAGCATACTGTTTCGATGTTCAGTGCCCCAAAAACATATATTCTCAAGCCTTGATTACTTTTAATAGCTTGGGTATGTAAGAATTCTATGCTATGGAGCATAAATACTATGAATTTTTGTTATCTTAGTACCAAATAATTGAAAGCTTTTAAAATTTATATCTAGTATATCAAAGACGTGTAAAAATCATGTAGCTGAATACTTTTAAAATATTTTATTAATTTGTAGAAAATAACGGTTATTTGATGTTTTTTTATGCCAAGACTCTTACCCTCTTGAAAGGTTGATTAATTATGCTAAACCATTGCAGTGTATTCGTGGTATGCTTTCGTGCCGGAATTTTTTTAATAAAAATTGTATTGCTTTTTCTGGAAGCGATACATTTAATTAGAAACTGTATGGCTTCCAGATGAAACGCAAAAGTCGCATTTAGATAGCCACTTCAATGCTAATTCTTTACAACTTTTACTAACTAAGCATCCGTTTGTGAATATGTATGCCTTGTATGTTGGTTATTAGCATCTATTTCCAAGCAATATTTATGTTAAACCTTCATACCGACACTTAGACGGAAGATTTCAGACTTATTTAGTGTACCTTAAACATTTGACTGGAAGATTAATTTAATCGAAATAAATAAAACCAATGTTAAACCCCTTAATAAAATTCTTTTACTAATGGCAAGTCGTATATTATCTTTCAATATTTACTTCTTAACTTTTAAAAATAATCTAGATTACAAACATGACTGTCTGCATTCAACATTATTTATACATCACTTCTCCAAAATTCAAGAAGATGAATAAAAAGCAATTTATAAGCAGCTTTAAGGATTTGACATCAACATGGAATTTTATACTAAATAATTCGTGCATGAATCTCTTAGCATACTCTAATTTTTAACCCTTTGCGGTCGTATTAAGTTTTCGTATAGGTATCCTAATCGGAAATTTTTTTTTTGAACGAACAGTAATGCTGAAGGAAAAACAAAATTTATTCTTTTATAAACTTCATATGTATGCAACACAATAAGTTTGAATTTGAAGTAAAAACTATATTTTATAGTTCTCCATCCTGTCAATTTTACGGTCACTTCCATCAGCAACTTTCTTATTTTCCATTTTACTTTACGGTCACTTCTTTCAGCACTTTCTTATTTTCTATTTTAGAGTATTATTTTGAAAATATTTTAGGTGAAAATGCACAATTGCACTTAAATATAATTTGTAAAATATTTCAGTTCTACTTTTTCCCGAAGCTTGCTGATTTAATATAAGTATAGTTCTTTATAGTTGTGGTTGAGAACAGATATGCGATTAGAACGGTAGAAAAGCTTTGGTGGCTGAGAGCAGATATACGGCGGCAAAGGGTTAAAATTTCTTTATGTACACTGTTCTACAAGTACGCTTTCTTGATTTCTGGGAAAATTCTCTGAAAAATGGTTTTGGTTTGTGCTATTATGGCAAAGCTTCAAGGGTACCTGCCTAAGTAGAGGGGTGCTTTCGTGGAGGACATTCCAAGGAACACTAGCTCGTATACACATTACACATGGAGAAAACTACGAAAACGCGCAGGTAGCCAGCCCGTCCGAATTACCAGTGCACAGCGTAATTCCGCCCATTACAGCATTCTATTCCTGAAGACTTTGTTTGAAAACAAGTATGAGACCTCTTCAATAATCAAGTATTTGTCTAGCTTGTAGACTACAAAATTGTGAACTACAAATTAAGTATTCTACTGCATTTAAAAGTAGGTTATATTTCTCTATTTATAAATATATGTTTTGGTTAGCATATTTGTAAGTACCTCTTTCACTTGGAATATATTTGTAGCAGTCCATCTAATTCCAATCGGAATTATGTTTTTTGTAAGAAATGCCGTAGAAGTTGAAGAACAAACTCTGGCCATTTTTTAGACGATAGCACACTGAAATAGGACCAAAATTTTTACTTTTAAGAATTCATTTATTTGACGTGCATGAGCCAAGCCATAATTATTATTTACCTCTGTACGGCGATAGCGTTAGATGTAAAGCTGACAACGTGATTTCACTTTTTTCGGATCGCGAGTTCGAAGCCCATGCTCTTTTCCCACCTTTTTTGCAACTTTCTTAGCTCTGTGTTCCAATTTGATCTATATTTGCGTCTCATAATTTATTTCTATTGCTATGCGCATTAAATATAATGTTTTATTTATGTTATTTATTTACATTTTCTCCGCAAGAACTTATTTTTAAAGTTATAATACGAATTTAAAGCATAATCCCTGTACATATAATATACATGTTTTCGTTTCACTTTTAAGTGAATGTACATACATACGCTGCGACTTTCGGATGTTTCCAGCTCTAACCTTTCACTACCAATTAATGTAAGGCAGCTTTAATGCCCTAAACATTTTTAATAAAACATTCTTTAAAAAATTTAAAATGATTAAAATTCAGTCCTCTCCACCTGAAGTGCAGCAATTATTTAATTAAATAATTTTATTTTCTTTACCTTATATATGTACATACATATAAAGAGAAGAAAGCTTATTTTTATAACTTTCACTGTAGAAAAGATATGAATTTAAAATTTTTAAATTGAATATTTTATGGATTATGCATTTTAAAACAAACGAGATTTTTAATAAATTATCCAGCGATTACACTGAAGAAATTGATGCTAAAATTTTGTATATCTGTTTTTGATAAACATTTTGGCATATTTTAAAAATATATAATCTCACATGGCAGTCAGTCGTATATAAGCACAGCAAATTTTGTGTAAATATTGTGAATTTTTCTTTACAGTTGTGATTTTAAAGTACCAGCTGTTTTTAAATGCGTAACTTTTTTATTTGTTTTCCACTAACAGTATGTTATAGTTTTAATTGTATATTATTTAATAAAGATTTAAGGCTTCTAGAAAAAAGCAAAGAAATTTTTAAAAATTACTTCAGCTTCTATGCAATTAGAGAGTTCATAATGTGCATTATAACCATATCTAAAAATTGCTAACTTGCTTTACTTTCACAGTTCATAAGCAGAAATAAAAATTTCCAGTAAAATCGAATTTTAGTATCTGAATCCCGTAAGTTAAATACAGAGACATCTGATGGCAATAAATGCAATCGAGCACCGAACTTACGTATACGCAAGTCCAACACAGTGTAAACTGTCGTCCGTCTGCGTATGAGTTTCTCCTAATGACGCTACGCCCTAATGGAAACGGGCCTTTAGGGTGTGTGTCTGTATTAAAAGGCAAGAGGTACAAACAATGTAAGCCATGACTTTACTTTCCTCCGAACATGGCAAGAAACCAAGATGCTGTTCCCGACTTCTTGAACCAATATTTTTTAACTAAGGGTGGTGTTAGGATAGTTTGTTTTTCAACACAAACTTCAGATTGGTTAAAGTAAATATATATGGTTTAAGTCTTTTTTTTGTAACACTTTTCCTAGGGAAGTTCTCACGGCAGCGTTTGTAACTTACAGTTTTTATTGCATTTTCATCACACATTTGCAACATTTGCTGAGATGTGAAGCAAAACTAATCTGTTTGGCCAAAAAATTGCGAATGTTCCAATTATCACGCAGTTGTACATGGCGGAATAAAACGGAAATGTAATGCCAACAACTGGTTGCCAAAGTGTTATAACTCAGAATTAGTTCGAGGATCACTTGCTTTCGAACATAGCAGAGCTCGTATGGGAAAAGAGAAACTTCGAAGACAAGCAGTCTGTTTTGGTGGAACTTTGAATGCTTTTCTCAAACAATACCAGCCGGAAATTAGCGTGTTTAACGATCTGATTTCGAGTATATATACTATATAGGGTGGGGCAAATAAAAAAAGCTCGCAAAACAGTAACTCTGTTCTTGGGGCCACTTTTATTTGCCCCACCCTGTATTTTATTTCCAAATGCGCTAAACAGATTTTTGACAGTGTGTGTCGGCGGCTGTTGGCTAATACAAAAACAATAATTAATAGCTCTGCTTCTATCCACATATGTTGTAGAATGATTGCATACAGCTAAATACTGCAAAAAAGCTTCTCTTTGACATTAAGGAAACACGTAAACGTTAATTTTCACTCGTTCTAAAATAAAGGTTCAAAGGAAGAAATACAGAATAGGTATTCTATCGGACTATCCCATCTGTACGGAAGTTTTTTCCCCTCCGTGCGCCATCTGTTACCGTTTTTGATGTTTGAACGATACATAAAAGATTAAGCACCTATATTAAAAATTTTATGCCAAAAACTACATGAAGTTATTTGCGAATTTTGTTTGAAAAAGCAGTACATTGTTAGTTTTTATGATCACAATATGAAGCAATATTTTATCCATATCTACTAGATTCCTCGTATCACGCATGTAGAAATCTTAAATTTATGCACGTATTACGTAGAAGTAATCATCAATGGTCAATACGGTTAAGCAAATTTACGTCTAATTTAGTAGAAATAAGAGATTGTCCTTGAGTTCACAAAGTTTGATTTACTTTTTTTACGGGAAAGTACACTAAAGGTATCAGCCTAAGCGGAGGGATGTTTTTGTGGAGCACTTTTTTTGAGAAACTGGCTCTTTATACCCATTATACACGAGATAAACCATGGAAACGCCCATGCAGCCAGCCAGTTCGCCGCGAATCCGAGCTCCAGTATTAAGCAACTTTACCTCTCAGCCGCTGGTGACCTTTGAATTCACAAAGAAAACCTGATGCAAGAAAATGTTTACTTTCTAGCAGATTACTTGGAAAGTATAATGAATCCTCATCACTTTGTGCGTACTTTCTTGATAGGATTACCAGTTCCAGCTAACTATTGTAAGTATTTTCCACTGTACAGATTCCACTTAAGATTTTGAAACCTGAAAAATCAATTGTGCTGGAATCCGGAGCACATATCTTCCGTCAGCTTGAACATGAAAACTACTTACACCATGAGTGCAAGCGTAGAACGATGCGATAATTCCGAAAAATTGTATTACCTTATTCTTTTCACTATAATTATTAGATAAATCGAATAATCTTGTCACAGAGCATGATATTGGCCTATACTTTGTTTTCATACAATATATATTACTTAAAATGAAATTAGGGATTTTAAATATGCTTAAAAGAACATTTAAAATGCAGCCCTCATTTATTACAACTTTCTCCAATGAAAGTTAGCATTACAAATGAAAGGAACACAACGAAAATACAAATACTTGATAAGAATACTTAATGTTAAGATCCGTTTAATTAATTACAACAAAGCAAATTAGAGCCCAAGGAGATGGTTACCTTTGTGGTGGCTACTTCCAATGGAAACTGGCTTCACTTATGTTATACACAGCGAAACGTCATGAACACATTCCTGTTGTCAGCTTTTACTTTGGGATTCGAACCACGGCGTTTAAGGTAAATACATTTCTGTTCCTTGTACTGAAACCATTAATTCCCACGACAGCTGTCATTCTTCAGGCATATTTCCTATCAGTGTTGTAATTACATGTAAAAGTTGTTCATTAGGTCCTTAATGTGCCAAATCATTACTTAATTTTAGAAGTTCGATTTATCTCTGCAGAATTCTGAAACTTACCCACAGTCAGCCGAGGAAACTTAGATCAGGAGAATCTAAGCTGAAACCGTGCAACTTCACACCGTTTTGCTGATAAAAACAAAAATGTATCTAACCTACTGCAGGGTCAGAAATACGTAGGAGTCCTAAAAGCTAAGCTGTTTTCAGTAATTTACCAATAATAATTGGTGGGCACAAACGAATCGTGAAGAGCAGCTTAACGTGTATAATATCAGACCTCCGTTAAAACATCGTGGTATATACCTGCAGTCTTCACTCCTGTATAAACATCCAAAAACTTAACAAATACCATGCATACTATCATGCTATCGACGCAATTATCTAACGGTTAGTTTTATAGAACTAGTCTTCTAGATTTCAACCTAAACACTCCAATTTAATTAACCCTTTGCATTCGAGCGGTGCCTGTCAGGCTATTCTACCGTATTATGGATCTCTAACAGAGACTGATAAGACCCGATCTACCGGTATCAACCAGAATACAGCTACATCTATACAAAATGATACAGGATAAAATTCCCGGTGTTCAGGGACACCACATGTTCACGGACCGTTATTATACGAGTTACATATTGGAAGAATTACGCAAACAAAAGTGCCACTTAACTGGAACGATCATGACAAATAGAAAGCACCTGCCATGTGAAATACGAAAGCCAAAATTTGAGAACCGAACCACATGTGCATATCGTAAAGGTAATATTTTGGTTCTTGCGTGGAAGGACAAGAGGATTGTGACGGCTTTGACTACTTGGAATAATGCAGGAATAACTCCTGTAAGAAGAACTACGAGGCGGTATTTAAGTCGTTATAAAAAAGCCCGATGTTATTGTAAATTACATCAAATTTATGAGCGGTGTTGATCGAGCCGACCAACTGGCTTCGACATATGTGTTTTTTAAGAAAAATCCGTAAAATGGTGGCGAAAACTATTTTTTGGGGGTTTAGAGATCTGCTCCATCAATTCATACAATTCTTTATAAATCAGTAAAGAAACAGAGAAACGAAACGGCTGCTTAGTCACCTACAATATTTGAAAACTTTAGTAGGATCAACTGAGAGGAGACTTTCGACAAAAACAACCCAGCACAGCTTCTTACTTCACACAGCATTTATGAAGCGATCCGACTAAATGAGAAGCTGCATATTATTTTGATGGGGCAAAAAAAAAAACGATTGCAAGGTTTGCTCCCAAAGAACGTCCAAAGGCGACAAACTGTATACTACTGTGACACATGCCCCGACAAGCCAAGGGTGCATGGATGTATATTGGAGATTGTTTTGTAAAATATCATACGAAGCAAAATTTTAGAACGTAATGTTTAATACATATGTTTCATTAAGTTAAAAAAATATGTATAATGTTAAAATATACGAGTTTAAAGTGTTTTATTGTGTCTAAAATTATTTTAAGTTAACAATAAGGAGCTCACGATATAAGCGGGAGTGGCTGATTACTCTCGAGTTGCTGGTTCACCCGACAGAAAAGCGCCTCGAGCGCAAAGGGTTAATAGAATAAATTTTCGGTTTAGAATTTTTTAGAATTTGCTCCCTTCACTCCAAATTAAGCATTTTAAATACTGATTAATGACACGAGTATTTGACACCATTTAACTTATGGTTTGAAATTTTAAGGTCTTAACAATTGTTCTGAGAATATTGTATGAAGTCCTGAAGACCTAAAAATGGCAAGTCTTTTCTTTTACCCCCGAGATCTTAACTGGTGTTTTATTTAAATTTGCTAATATGAATCCAAACTTGTGGCATATAATACTCATCTTTGTAGCTATGTTTTTATATCTTTAGTATACTATACCCTTTATAAATACGCAAAATGCTGCATACTTGAAGTCCCATTTTGCACACGGCAAAATAGAATCAGAGATAGATGCGTATTTCATATTTACATAATTCAGGCTAATGAACATTTGCAAAATTTGAACTATTTCGTAAAATAAAGCTGTCCGAAATTCTTTGTGTAGGCTCAGACCTTAACTTTCTGTCCTATAGTTTTTTAATCTCAGAGGCAACTAGCTTCCAGGTAATCCTAAACAGAAAATTAAAACATACCACTCCCTTAAACGAAACTAGATCCTGTCCATTTATGAGAACTCCATCCTTGGCTTTGAAATTCTGCGGTACCGAGACTACACTGGAGAAGTTCTTCACAGAATTTATGGTTTTGTCTCCGTAACTTTTAGCGATGTCTGTCAAGTGCAAACTGTTTACAACATTTGACTCTAAATCCTTCTTGCAGGTCATCTGTTGCATATGGAAATCTGCATCTATAGTCTGAAAAACCAGAAAGGTTTTTAAAATGCTTTGTTACATAAAAAACGGCATTCAAAGAGTGCAAAAATTCACCGAATCATCACTCAGATTAAATGTTAAAGAAAGTTATAATTAATAATGGCACACATATACACAACACCAGTTGCATTCTCTTGCCTGTTCCATAAGTTCTACTGTAGCGTGTTCAGCTTTCTGAACACCGCGAGTCACTTGAGCGATTCTTATCTGGCTATTGGCAATTAAAAATTGATAAAGAACTTTTTTTATAATTAGGAGTATAGAATTTAGTAATAAATCTGAAGTACTATGGTATAATTGGGTGGCATAACGATTTGTGCATTTTATTAAAAATTAACATTCTATCCTTTAACTTTGGGTAGCTAAAAAAACACTTGAAAATATTCTCTAGATTTTTTTTTCATTCAAAATGAGTTTTATTCTGTTATTTGGATACGAAAAAACATTTTTAGCAAAAAAGCGCAGAAATATTTTTTATGCATACCAATATCAAAGACACATACTTCGATTTTCTCATTTAAATGAACTTAATTTGAAGCTACAGTCAGAAAATGTACGTTCTGTTCAAGCTCAACTTTTCGAATGAAATGGGAATTGTTGGAGTACCATAAAGTATGATAATGAGACACTAACTTTGTTTATTTTTTGCAAATTACAATAATTTTTGTTGTTTCGGATAGCGGCTGCCACGTATGGATGCTCGTTATTTTAATTCATGAGAGGAATTTAGGTGTGAACGTTATTCATAAAAATAGACGCTAGCATAGAGGTTTTAAAAAACGCAGAAAACATGTTATGTAACTACATCTAGCATCTTATAAATGTTGATGGTTCCAACTACATTTACGAAAACTCTCGGTAATTTTTTTTCTTTTCGTAGAACAGTGATGTTAAAACAGTAACAATACCAGAATTAAACAAAAAATTATATCCTAGCAATAATCGTCCTAGATCCCCCACATCATATTCAGTTAACAGAGGCATAATTTATTTTTCTCCCGTATTCATACAATCTAACTAGAAAATAAATGCTAAAATATTTTCTTTGCCTTAAGACTTTTCGTATGTTTAAAATTATATTACATCAACGAAAGCGAATTAAAAACATTTTAGTATGAGCACCCATGCTACCTTTTATAGAGCCATTTGGACTTTATAAATAATACTGGTATGCATAACCGACAGGATAAGCAAATTATCGGTTATTTAAAATAATGAAGCAACAACCTCTCTCTCTAAGATGACTTTTTTAAAGTGATCACCATTTTTGAGACTAAGCATCTATATTGAATAACTAGTACAAACATCACTACAGAATACCTAAATTATCCGAAACCTGGGATGTTGCTTAAGTTTCACTGTATTTCAGCTTCACCAATGAACTAACCTATCTTACAAAAATTTGAATTATTGCTCATTCTCCAGTTTGATTAGAATAGTTCTCTAACTGGGAAAATAAAAATATAGAGTTGGTAAACTTAATTTTTTAATAGCATTCTGTATATGAAAGGTGTAAAAAGCACGACTTACGGAAAATTAGAGAAAAGTATGCGGCAGAGTTTAAATATTTGAAATAATATTCTTACTAAAATTAAAATACTTTAATTTCACTTAAAATTAAACAGCATTATTTTATAAAAAGAACACCATCGGCACGTTTGTGGGCAACTCGGCCTCCGCTGCCTTTACTAGCTGAATTCCAGGCGCTGAAGTTATGGAGGACAGCGAGGTTTGATACGCGGAAATTGTGGCGAGTGCTGAAAATACGAAAGACTAGATTTTCTGAGTGGACAACAGCGGCTTTCAGCGTACAAATATACGCTGTAATTAAATTCGCGAGAGGGAGGAATTCTCCACTGTGATAGTTTTTTGCCTAAACGGCCGTTCTGACTAAAGTTTATCGGAGCTAATGGAGTCAGTTTCACGTGTCAACTAGCTCCGCTGTGCGTGCAGTTCAGATTTTTCAACTCGATAATGCATATCGAGAAAAACTAGTTTTGAGGATGGGTTGACTGCGTCAGATGTCTCAGCTTAGGATCAGGGATGTCAAACTCATAGGTACACTTGGGCCAAACAAACAAGGTTTAACTTTAGGCGGGCCAAAAAAAATCAATATTCATAGAAACGTAGATTTATTTCGAATAATACACTAATAAACATTATATTTATATAGAAAAGAAAAAGAAAAATTTAATGTTTACGTCCTGATACTTGACATCTCTTTTCTGCTATTATCTTTCCTATTTCGGGAGAAATTTTGTTTGCAGTGATAACTTTCAACGCTGACCCAAGGTCAGCATAATTAATACGGTTTCTAATAGGAGACTTATTACCTTTCATGACTGAAAATAACTGCTCGCACCGATAAGTGCTACCAAACATGGAAATAATTTCATATGCGAATTTTCGAGTATTTTCAAATCTGGCTGGTAAATATTTGTAAAATTCAGGCAAGCCCACTTCAATGAATTTTGCTTTCAATTTTGAGTTGCATTGAATCTCGATCACCTCTATTTGCATATGCTAAAATCATTAAACCTCGTTTCAAATTCAGTTGTTAAATTTGCAATTTTTTCTGCGTACTTTTGATACGAACAAGTATCATCTAAACTTTATTTTTGACAAATCTAATTACAATTCTAAATAAAAAAACTAACTAAATAAATAAGTATGAAATCCTTAACAATATGAATAAAGTAATAATTAATAATAAAGCAAAGTGCATGCACATGCACGCACCAATATATCGTACAAAACTGATCGGAAAACAGAGACCATGAGTTCGGCCACATTCGGCTATCGGGGGATGCGTACAAGTTCTGAGTGCACGTGTCCCCCAAAAGCCGAAGGTAGCTGAACGCAAGCTACTCACACGCATTTGTAATTCAAGTAGTGTGTGTGTGTGTGTGTCAGCTCGCTGTGAGTAATCTAACACTGAATAAATTATCGTTAATTACTTAGCAGTAAACATTTCATTTTTTTCTTCGTCGATGTTATTTTATTATTATATATTATTATTTGCCGATATATTGGCCGGCCCGCAAAAATATTTGTTGTGGGCCGCGAGTTTGACATCCTTGGCTTAGATAAACCCCAGTCTGAAAGGCCTTTAAAAGGCCATTCAAGCTGGAATTTATCTGAGCTAACGAACATAGCTGACCTATCTCCAAAACCAATTTTTCACCATAGGGCAGCAAGCTGAAAAATATGAACTGCAGGCATAGCGGAGCTAGTCGACACATGGAACTAACTTGTTAGCTCAGATAAATCCCAGTGTGAATGACCCCTAAACAACCTATTGACAAAGTCAACTTTTAAACACGTGCTGTGTACTTAATTTTTTCTGTCACCCAGGCGTACTAGAAAGCAAGAAGGCTAATAGCTTAATTTCCAAAAGCTAGACATTTGCAGTAAAGGAAAACACTAACTTGTAGTAATAAAGGCGGATTCATAACTTGTATAAATTGAAGCTGTATAGTTATATAGTGAACTTTTAAAATGCAATTTTAGACGGAAAAATTCGTGGATGGTAGAACCAGTAGAATAAACTGCTATGTGAAATCTAACACGAAGCATCAAAAGAGCTTAGAAAGATTTCAGACACTGAGGAAAAACGTTGGTTTCCGCTTGAATTTATGAAATTTGTAACGCATTAATTAAAGACTAAAATTCCCTCATATGGTATATTTTTAAAACTTGAATAGTTAAGCAAAATTTCTAGAAAAAAAAATCAATGTTAAAATGGCATTGAAAAAAGTGAATAAAACATTTACCTGCTCAACAGACTTCCTCCAAGCAGTGGACTCAAGATCAACGACATTCCTTCCATTTACTCCGTCACTAACACTTAAATTTCCTTTCACTATAACATTGACGAAAACTGTAGAATCGTGTTTCACAACCCCTTGTTCATGCTTCACTATACCTTGTAGTAATAAAGATGGATCTACACCATCTAAGGTGACAAACTCTGTCATATCAATAAAGTCAGCATAGAGATCATCTATAAATACTTTCGTTCCGCCAACGAACTGATTCTCTTTCATTATCAAAATTGCATCTTCACTCAAATCAAGCCCATTTATCTGGTCTACAACAAGATCATTGTACAATTCGAAAGGTGAAGTAAATGCTATGTCACCATAAACAACCTGTTTAGAAGATATGGTCATAATTTGATTTAGAGGAATTTCATTGATTGTTCCTGCAATATTCACATCACCGTGGATGAACTGCGGTACTGTAGAAATGAAAGGACCTGTAATTATTGAAAAACCAATTAATGAAAAGCATGTTTGTATTAAGTCTGCTCAGAATTTCCATCTGAATGCAAAGAGAATGAAACATTCGGTAATGTTAATATTTTATGAAATTTTTTAAAAATTGTTAATCATATGATTGTTTTTCGTAAAGTGATTGTTTTGTAATAGTATTAAGAATTCAAAATTATGGAAGTTGGGATTAACACAACATAAAAATAAATTTCATATAACATCGCAATTACATAGAGGGATTATTAATTGAGACTCAGCTCCTTTTGTATGCAAAAATTGCAATTTCTAAATCCGGCTACTGATGTTTTGACTGTCCTTAATAAAGTATAAACATACAATGCATTAAAAGAAAGCAGTATCACGAAAGTAATTTTTCCCAAGTTTTCGTATTTTAAACTTTCACGTGAAATTCTGGATGGTGACACTTCTTATTACAGGAAATACCATTAACATGCATGCTAATATGTTCGTACTAAAAATAAACCAACCTGGGGAAAATTACGTGAAAACACATACATCAGACTCCGAGAACGATTTTTTATGATCTATATGACGCTTGGCATGGGTGAATTCTAGCCGTACTACATTTATTCAAGAAGTTAAATGAATTAAAACTCAAATTGTTTTTTAAAATGATTCTTAATTTGGAATTTTCTAAATTTTGACCTGCGTTGACTTGGAAACACAGCAGAAATTTTCGATTTTACTCCAAAGATGAATCACTTTTGGTTCTTGTAGGAGCAAATTTCAACATGACTAGAATTCCTTAGATGTGTTGTCTTGAAATGAAAGTAAAATGGGCTTCTACTTATTCGAGCACATTCGTGATTATGAATAAAATACACAGGTTGTTTACATATTATACGTAGATTGCAACGGAAAAGAAACATGTAGTGTAATGAAAACGTTACAGTAACTCGTTACAGTAAACGTTACAGTAAACTTAATTTTTCAAGTGACATATCTAAATATCTTCTGCTTTAAAACAGTAGATGCAATTAAATTTTTGATTAAAAGTTGTTTTTACTCTTTTCTAAGAGAAAGTCTTATTCTATGATGAAAAATGCTGTGAATAGCGTGGCAATTAGCATTTCTAACATCAAAATAAGAAAACGATTTAGCATTTGTTTCATAAGGGAGAAAAGCAACATAAGGATATCTGAAGAAGGTACGTAGTTCTACAGCTATTTTCGAGTATAACGTGTCCTTTCTCAGAAGAAAGTCTTAGACTCTAAGAACAGTTGCAATGTTTTGAAACACATTGTTAGAAGCACATTCATTGCTTTGCCACTTATGAAATTCATTGCTACTTATGAAACTGAATACTAAATATGATATACAAGGAGTGGAGCAAACAAAACTGGGAAACTCAGAACACCTATATTTAGAGAATTTTTCTTTTCCTAAACATGACTAACAAGGAAATTTCTCAAATTTAATATTAGTCTGCCTAAATGTTCCTAAAGATTTCGTCACAATACCAGTTACTTCAAATTTGGAGTATTAATAGCCTGTATGCTCCACTATGCGAAATATCAAATTTCATATTTAAAGATGCTTCATAAGATTATTAAACTCTACAAGCCGTGTGGGATGCAAGTCCTCAAGTCCAACAGGCGCCAGTCTTGAACTTAGTGTTCGCCGAGCCAGTTTGCTTAGAGCAAACGGGATCAGTTTTGTTCCAAAAGTTCAGTTCGTTCCCAACAGAATCAGTATTAACACCCAGGGAGTTCATGAGATTTTAGAGGGGTAAATGATGATCAAAGGTTCGACATCCGAATATGCACCGGCAGTTGGCTGGCATAATCAAAATCTCATTGGTTGCAAAAATTTCAAATAAAATTTTATATTTCAAAAATGAACAATATTTTTTAAGTATGAAATTTTATTCGATAAGGGCAATAGAAAAAACAGCACACACAAAAATGAGAACACTAAAAACACAAAATTAATAAGTTGAAGCAGAATCTCCAATTTTTTCACCCATGACAGGCCAACTTCTCGTCAAGACAAGGACTTCATAAGAAAGGTCTATGGGTCAAATAGCGATTACGTCATTAAGTATGTAGGATAGGTCTTTGACAAGAAACTGTTGTTCTTTTATTTTCTTTGCTATTCTGTGGGAAGGCGTCAAAATTACAACACTGCTGATAAGACTTTTTAATTCGAAAATAGTTTTAAGTTCAAAACAGTAACCAATACGGTTAGAGAATTTATGATCCGTGTTTGGTGCACTAAAATCTTTTAATGAAAACATGCTACCGGTCTGTGGAACAACTTTTCAATCGGCAAGAACTCAATAAAATCTGAACAAGAACATTTTGCGAACATTTAGAAAACTAAGCTGTTGTGGAAACATAAATGAAAACTCCAAGTTTTATGATAAAAGCTCTTTTGCTCTTGTTCTAAATCAACAAATATTATACAAAGTGATAGAATTTAACAGTAAAAATCGCGCTAAGAAAAAGTCTGAAAAGGTATGGTAGATTAATATTTAATCTAACATACTTTCGAAATAAAGAGTTGTCTGGTTTAGAAAATAAATAGGCCGAGAAATAAAACCTTTTGATATTTGTGTAAATACAAAAATGTTTTAACTTTTTCTTTTAAGATAAAAGTACCTACAGCTAAAAGAAATTTTTTACCCGGCCAAATAAACAAAGAAAACAAACAAGAGAAATGCTCATTAGACCTATCGATTTGAAAACTATAATAATTCTTAAGAGGTTGCAGTGTTAGACCAAGAAGAAAAATAATTCAAGTAATTCAGTTTCAAGAAGGCAGAACGAACTAGCAAGTTTATGAGCAAACCATCTACCAACCTTCGTCCTTAAGTACTTCCGACAAAGTAGACATTGATTTATTCTTGCAAACGGTTAATGCGTACAGCCATAATAAATTCTTTTGAAATGAGATTGGAATTAAAAGGTTTAGCCAGGTTTGGATTAATGATTAAGGAATATCGTTAGAGATATCAAGAAAAGGGAATACCATAAAAAAAGTCCTTGGTATTCAAGAATAGGGGACACTAAATTTCTGATTGTCGTTTTGACCATGGAATTCATGATGCATTTAAACCGAAACGAAGAGAAGGAAGGAAAAAAACACTAGCATAAACATAACGTCGGAGGACGAAAGTCTCTAGTGCTTAGGGGTCCTAAAAGTCTTAATCCGGTCCTGGCTCTGCTACGTAGCAAAAATGAAGTTTCAGATAGGACAGCGGCAGTTACTGTCAATGCTGTTTTAAAGATTATATTGCAGCAAGATCAGGAGGAAAAAAAAAATTTATACGATCTTCTGCCGAAAACTACAGAACAGGCCTTATTATATATATATATATATATAATCTTAATGGTTAGAAGGACAGGACTAAACTCGATATGCTGCCACCTCCTAGTAGCGGTATCCACGGAGATTTTATTTTAAAAACTAGCTAAGACATTTGAAAAAAATGGCAGCATCTATTTTAATATTCAAGAAACTGAATAAGGAATTTAATAGTGGAACAAGTACCTTTTAGATCTTGAGCAGTATTCTTCATAACGCTTTCGCGAGCAAGGTGGGAAATATCAATGGCTCCATTTATTAATTTAGTCAAGAAAAAGACATCTGTTACCTCTATAGCAGACGTAAATTCCACTTGGCCATTAATATCATCGCCATCAATCTTAACGATTTTGTGTTGAATTTCGCTTAGGTATTCCTGTGAAGAAAGTTAATATAATTTGAAAACAGCTAATATGAATATTATTACAGTTACATTTATTTATCCGTATATATTCAGAGGGTAAAACGGTTTGACTGACGTCTGAATAGTACTTTTAAAATGAGATTAAAAGACCTGAGCCATTTATGATTGTTAAACTTCTTGTGTATCTTTCAGATGATTACTGATCAACTGCATATTGCAGATACATTATAAACCTGTGTTTGCAGGAAACGAATAATATACTTCTTGTCACTCATCTATCACAAGTACTTATCTATTATACATAATGCTGTCGACCTAAAAGGATGTTAAAATTAATAATAGGGCTCAAGTTTCATCGGAACGCTTTAATTTGATGTGCTAGACTTTTAGAAAATGTTCAGTTACGAAACACATCGCAGAAAAACTAGTACAAGCTGTCAACCAGCTACTTTCATCCTCAAAATAACTAGAGAGTTTATCGTGCAAAGTACTCAATGGCTAAATGCTTTAAAAGAGGATTGGATTCGATTATTGTAATTTGGCACAAAACCTATCAAGGTTATATGCGCCAGACAAATGGTAACAATGCGATTAGTTATTTGTATAAACTTCTAGCTTAGGTAAAAGAGACAGATTACAGTCTATGATAAAAGCTGATATCTTTTAAAAAACAGGTTAAAGTCTATTATAAAAGCCAATATCTTTTAAAAACAGAAACAAATTACGTTGATGTGTTTTTTCAATTAAATTTCCTAAGTCCAGTTCTGAACAATTAAAATGTTTTTGGCGAAAATAATTAAAACTCTGGCATTCCACCAAGATTTGATGAACTGTCAGATCTACATTGCAGTTTGGGCAGCGGCAGCTGGGATTCTTTTCTCCCTTCAGAAGATACTCATGGATCAGGCGACAATTGCCAATTCTCAGTCGAGTCAAGAGGACAACCTCCCTTCTATTAGCATTAGTATCCTATGGTGGTTGTAACATTTCTCAGCTTGCTATATACTTTGTCATCCCATTGCTTCTGCCATTTGCTGAGAATTTTGCTTTTGACAAACCCTTTGATGTCTGCTAGTGGAATCTGAAGATTGTACATTGTGGTTGCGGTTTTAGGTTCAATATCCGCCAATTCATTCCCCTTAATGGCAACATGTGCAGGGATCCACGAATAAAGAATCTGGTATCCTCGAATTTTTAAAGAATGATTCAACTTCAGGATTCTGGTTTTAACTGGGTGAGTACATTGAGCGTAATTTTCCATGACATTAAGGCACTCATGGAATCTGTAGATAATAAACTTTATGTACTTTTGTTTTGAAAGGTAAGTCAAAGCCATATGGATTGCAGTAAGCTCAGAAGTAAGGACAGAGCAAACTGTATGTAATCGAACGCCTACTATTGTTTTCTCTGTGACGAAAGCTGCACCAACGTGATCCTGGGATTTTTATCCGTCTGTATATAGAGGGATATTAGAGGGATATATTTCCTATATTTGTTTCTATGTTAAAAAAATCTACTTGTAGATGATTTCGTTAGTTTGTGATTTACTCCAGTGTCGAAAAGTATCCAGAGAATGGATTCTCCAATCCTCCCAGGGAGGAATTCCAAAAAAATCCTCCACCTGTATATCTGTATTGGACAAATTATACTCCTCCACCAAAGCACTCATCCGCAAGCCGAAAGATGGGACACATGATGGTCGTGTCTGATATAAACGGAAGTATTGGTCATTAAGCAATTTTGACCGCGTAGAATTTTTGGTTTGTGATAAGACTGAAATAATGCTTAAAACAAAGATTTTTCACGTCTTAACCGCAGGGAGGTCTCGTTACTTTCCACATATAAGCTTTCCACTGGAGAAGTTCTAAAGGCACCAGTGCATATCCGAAGTGCTTGGTGATGTATCGGATCAAGTTTGGCTAATACTGAAGGCCTTGTCGACCCATAAATGATTGATCCATGATCTAGTTTCGAACGAATGAGAGCTCTCTATATAAGAAGCATTGAGCCTCGATCAGCACCCCAAGAAGTATTTGACAGTACTTTCAGAATATTCATAGTTTTAAAACATTTCTTTTTTAGATAGGTAATATGGGGAAGTAACGTAAGCTTATGGTCAAATATCATTCCTAGGAATTTTATTTCCTTTTCTACAGGAATCAGCACATCTTGCAGATAAAGTTCGGGGTCAGGGTGAGGATTTTCTTTCGACAGAAATGTACACACAGTCTTGAGTAGAAAATCTAAAACCATTTTCCTGCGACCATTTAACAATTCTATTGAGAGATGTCCGCAGTTTACACTCAATGTCTTTCAGATCTTCTCCCTGGCAACTGACTTTCAGGTCATCGACGTAGAGCATATCCTGGACTGCTGGAGGCAGTTGTTTTAAAATAGAGTTAATTTTTATACTAAATAATGTAACACTTAATACACTTCCTTGCGGAACGCCCTCTTCTTGATGGAACATGTCAGAAAGTGTATCGCCTATCTTCACATGAAACTTCCGATCCTGTAGGAAATGTTTGATGAATATCGGCATGTTTCCTCGTAAACCATTGCTAAATAGATCACGAAGGATACCGTATCTCCAGGTGGTAGGATAGGCTTTCTTATATCAAAGAAAATGGAAACAATGATTTCTTCTAACGAACGCTCTACGGATACCTATTTCTAAGAGTAGGATATTATCGACAGTTGCTCTTCCTTTTCTAAAACCGTTCTGATAAGGGGAGATACAATTATTTGTCTCTAAATAATAGACCAGACGAGTGTAGACCATCTTTTCAAAGAGTTTGCAGAGGCAGCTAGTTAGAGAGATGGGGCGGTAACTTGAATTAGTAGGTTCTTTTCCCGGTTTAACAATGAGGATGACAAAAGCTGTTTTACAAGCATTTGGAAAGACTTGTTCTTTCCATACTCTATTAAAGAGAGAGAGAGGATGGCTGCCAATGACTTGGAAGGGAGATGTTTCAGCGTAGGATAGGCAATATCATCTGGACCAGGACATGAATTTTTTTTGTCTGCAACAGAGCTCTTTTCAGTACAGTCACAGTAAAATCCTGATTATATGGTTCAGTATTGGGAGATTTAAAATTAATTAGTTGTTTTTCAATGCATTTTTTTGCGGAAAGAAATTCAAGAGAGCAGTTACTACTGTGCGAGACGGCTGAGAAACTCTGTCCAATAGCGTTGGCAATTCCTTCCCTACTAGTAACTGCTTCACCACTTGCCTTTAAAATGGAAAGTGTAGATACCGGACGCTTTCCGGACTCTCTCCCAGACCTTCTTACTCGAAGTTAAAGAGTTAATCGAAGTTACATATGAGATCCAAGAATTCTTCTGACTTTTCCTTCGCACCTGCGGAGCTTTTGCTTTAGCTCTTTTGAATATTATGAGATTTGATTCTGAAGGATATCGCCGAAAAATGCTCCAAGCTTTCCTTTGTTTTCTGATGGCATGCTGGCATTCAGGATTCTACCAGGGCTTTGGGTACTTTGGCTGTTTTACCGACTTTTTGGTATACATATATCGGCTGCTTGAATAATTTTATCTGTAATGATCTTCACAGCGTGATCAATGTGCACATTCTTTACTATTTCTTCAGTGAAAAGAGCATAATATATGAAAAAGTCCCAGTCGGCTTTGTCCAACAAAAAGCGTGGTGTTCTAGGTATAAAAACACTCCTATTTCCTGTAATGCTTATGATAATAGGAAAATGATCGCTATTATATAGATAATTCTCGACATTAAAGAAACAAAATGGCAAAAGCTGTGGAGAAACAATAACAAGGACAGCTTTAAAAGAGATTCTATCGGACAGCTCGCATTACATCGCATAAAAAAACTCATGCAATACTAATCTGTACCTAATCGCGTCTAATATTTTATGTTGCAACTATACTATCACGTAAGCATCAAGTTTTAACAAACAGCTTTTATCACCACTCAACTAGCCTTCCTATTTGTCAATTATTTCTTTACCCTATACTGGCACAGAAATTAGCTCCAATTTTTAGATATTATGCATTTTGCAACGGTATACTTGTAAAAACATACGCTTATATTTGTGTTCGTCTTGCAGAACTGCCTTTTTCTTTTCATGTTATTTTCTAAACACATGTTCCTTTTGTTAAGCTGTTCTTATTTATGCATTTAAAGTAAATTCTCAGTGGAAACACATAGGCGTAATCACTAGAAATGCTCATCGTAAGGGAGTCGCAACTTTGTCACAGTTGAGTGGTCTTACTCCCTACTATTCTTAATACAAACTTAGATTATTCCCTTTCTAACCACAATTTTACTTTTATTTTCGACGCTCATTTGCAACTAAGAAACAAAATGCTATTCAGCGGAAGTCAAACTTTTCTTACTGCAAAAGATCAATATTTTCTAGCGTGTACATAAATAAAAAGGAAACAAAACTTTCATTTAAAGCTTAATATAATATCCGATTTGATACCGTGTAGTGATTTGTTTATTGAACAAATGAACTGCTCATTGGATAAAAATGGATGAAAACAGTTGGTGTCTGATTACTCCTCGAATCGGGATTCAGTGCCCTCTCAGAGAATTTAAATGATAATCTTGTCATAAACATGAAGTAGATTATCGCAGTAGTTGAATGAAGTAAACTCACACATCTTTCTCAAGTTTTCCAATGAAAAGGACAGTAAAAGGGTATTTCATAACATGGAAAGTTCAAAACTAGCTGTTGAGAAAATTAAATTCGAAACTTACTCCATTCGTTTGTTCATGTACATCAATAACGTCTGCTTTGAGAATAAGCATGGTTTTAAGACCCATAATCTGTTGATGTGATTTTGTAGTGACAAAATGATCGACTGGAATATAGTTCAGGTTCTCGGTTCCCAGGTTTGCTACGTGTACATCAGAAAATTTCAATTTTCCTGTAACATTATGTTCTCCTGTCAACAGCAAAAAATCTAAAAGAAATGTATAAAAATTTTTAATTACTCTTTTTTTGGTATTTAGCAAACTATCTATATTCCCTTACTGCTTGCCATTAAGAGTAAATTGAAATTTATACAAGATTTCCAGCTTACCGTTAGTGTCAATTCCATTAAGCTTATCCAATTGGAAATTTCCACCGTATATATTTGCAACAACGGCTTCCTCTAAGAATCTTTGGTCTCCTGTCTTTTTAAGTGCATACTGATCTAACTTTGAAACTTGAACTCCATTAATAATTACATCAATATACGAGGATCCCAGATTCAGAGATGGTATAAAAAGCGAGTCGCTGAAATGTTTTGCTCCTAGAAAGAAATACGATGCATTTTATTGCTGAGAATTCTGTTTAATATAACGTGAAAATCTAGAGGAGCAAAGTTTGCCAGAAAAGCAAGAATACAGAGGCCAAGTCTATTTAACAGTAAATCGCTAGCTCGCTAAATAGGCGAGATATCACCAAGCTGGCTATGGTTTTGCCTACTAATTTTTGTCGCCCAGTTTGAAAAGTAATCGCCGAAAGTTCCCAAACTTGGCGACATTTCGGTCGGGTCCCTATACATAATTAACTGTATCAAGCCCTTATAACTTATGTTACCAGTAATTTCAAGAAATGGAAAGTACTCGAAATTTCTCATCGGCCAGGATAAAATTCTATAAAACTGGAGAGGGCATCAGTTTTCAGTTCAGCATTGACTTCGATGCATTTACATATCCGTGCGAGTTTCGCTCTTTAGATGCGCAGTCTATTACGAACCAGTATGCACGCAATAATATATTATACTTCGATACAGTCTCTCCTATTGGAATCAGTTATAGCAAACAATCACACCTAGATTTATGACCAATTTGAAGGACTTTAAAAATTAGTTTTGTAAAATTCATACTATCTTATACTTATCATAAAATAAAAAGTATTATAGAGTACGCATCTGAAAGTGCTTAATGCTTTAAAAGTTTTTTCAAAAATTTAGGAAGTGTTAAAGGCTAATTAGAATTAACTTTAGATTAAAACTTGAACGCTAGCTACAGGTTTAGAAACAAAACAGACAGAACTTTAATGAACGGATTATATAAAAGAACCCACTGCATGAATAAACACAAGAAAAATTTACATATTTTAAGTAAGCTTTCTACCTAATATTAAGATTTTTCTACATAAATACTAAGGGCAGTTTAACTTTCAGCTGTTTTAGTACCGTTTTATATCGAGCGAAATTGGTGCAGTTTCTGATAATCCGTGTGCTTTTAAATAACAGCTTAAAATTGTATCTATGACTGAATTTTGTAGGTGGTTGGATTAGATCCTATGGCGTCAAAATTACTATTATTCAAACATACAATCGGTTAATCATAGAAATCAAGATATTTTAAATAATTTATATTACTACTGTAAACGATAGATATATTAATACTAGAGTCATATTCCAGTGGTAAAGAGAACAAACTGTTACTAAACTTGCTCAAGTGCCTGGAAGCCATGCCATATTATTTAACGATAGAGATGCTTAATCTTGTAATCCTAAAGGTAAATTGAGTGTTCAGGAAAATGAGACTGAATCAAACGAACTTTCTAAACCTACTGCCAGACTTGTTTTTCAAGATTTATCGGCTACAACAGGATTTCTAAAAATAATTATATCGTAATACTACATTTAGGTTATTATGAAGTCAAATTCTAGTACCAAACTCACGGATAATAATTACTGCAAATTTATAATTTGTACTTTCTCAAAAATGGTTAAATTACTATAAAAATAGTACTATAAAAATTAATTCTGAGGTAAATATCCTACTTACTAGTCTTCCCTTAAGTAAATAGTTAAGCACACTGAATACCAGGAATGAGACATTCGAATCCAAGAATTCCGCGAATCTTTGAAAAATTAACAATTCGAAAACTTAAGAGTTTTAGCAAAAAAAGCTATTAAAACACTTAAGCTTTAAGCTATTAAAAACTCTTAAGTAAAAACTTAAGTTATTAGCTTTACTGATGCTTATTAGAATGAATAATTAAAAAGAAAGCTTACTATTGGAATTTCAGTTGAACTGGATCGCCTGTATCACCTCTTCACGACCTTAAATGCTAAACTCGTAATTTTCTGAAAAGAATTTAGCCTTTCATATTTAATATTTATGAATATTAACTTTAAATAATATTTCTCCTTCTACACTTCATATGTTTAAAATAATTTCGGGAAGTCAAACTTAAAATTGTTACTTAAATGCTTTCTTAAACTATTATTTAACAGTAATTTGTAAGAATATATACCTTCGAGATTGCAAAATTTTAATTATTACTTTTATTAAAATTTCATTTGTATCTTTTAAAATGTATGTAGATTCATATTTAGAAACCGCTGTTATTTTTCATTAAACATACTTCAACTTTTGTTTATGTTAACTTTGAATGTTTATCTTATTCTTATATCAAGAATTGGACGTTTGAAAGATTGTAGAACATTTAAAGATTCGGATTCGAGAAACTAAAACTTGCTTCTCCTCTACTAAATAATTTTAAGCATGCGTATTATGCTTTCAATTAGACTGATATGGCAAACTAAAACAGATTTATCTAACCAAGGGTCTAATTAGTTGAATATGGCAGAGTAGCGTATGAGGACTAAATAAGGAGGGAGAGCGGCTTTCAAAAGAAACATACATGCTTTTGTATACATGCGGAGTCTGTCTACTTTGTTAAATGTAGAAGAAAAACATGAAAACGCTAACTCATTCGTCGGCATCTACAAGGGTCATATATTGAAATTATGTCAGCAGATTATTGATCTAATATTTCATCAATATGTCTAAATGGGAAAAATTGCAGAAATCATGTTTTGAAACGGTCAGTTGACTATTCCATATATCTTACCTCGAATTTCTTGAAATTTAGACTTAAGTACCGCATTCCCCAAATTTTGCCAAGTGCTTTCAATTACGTCTTTCACTTGCTGAGTACCCTTGGCAACATGCGAGGAGAGAAATTCTGGTGCAGGCCTCCGATCAGCTATTATCACAATTTCCATTACCTCACTGTCTTTAGGAGAAAGTATTTCACCTGAAACGAGAAATGGTAAGTTTGCATGCCTTTTTCATTAAGTTTTCACTGTACAGTTTCAAAAGAGCTCAAAATATCTTTAATCCCTTCTCAGAATATTAAATATTAATTCAAAAAGAGTAAGACATTAGCTCAGTATTAATAAATATTAACTAAAATTGTACTGCACTTGTTTGCACATTTCTTTTTCCAAATTAGTTGAAGCTTATTTAACGGTATTTGATAGAAAAAATTAAAATACCAACTCTGCTAAGTGAAAATTAGATTATCTTAGTTTAGCATCAGCCTAGAAATCTTTCCTCCCCATACGAAATAAAATATTTTGGTGGCCCCCACCTTCCTGTAATTCCTAGTGGAGAATATAGTGCTATAAATATCGAAGCTCATGACATTTGTGCACTTTGTCTCGCTCGAAAACTTTCAAAACTATCAGAACTCTTATTTTCTTTTACTTTCCTGGCGAATTACTACATTAGATAGCGCATTATTTCTTACAAAATCCTGATAATGAAAATTTTATTCTTAAGAGAAAAATATTGACAAAAATATTACCGACGACCGCGAGGTAAGGTAAGTGAGAAACTTCAGAAACTCTGAATTTTGCATGTTTAATTTTACACTCAAATTTGTTATAATTTATATTCAGATTTGAGTAATTAAGTTTATCTTTGTTCAGCGCGGACAGTATAAAGCAAGTTAATTGAACTGTTTCAGATAAACAAAGAAACCTGCTTTCTCTTAGAATAGTTAGCAGTTCCAATATTGCCATTAAAATTTCGAATATAATTCAACCAATATTTAAAATGTTCAACAAGTACAATACACCAAGAGCAATGTCAAATTTTAAATTTACCCATTAAATTCAAGTGTAAAAGTTATTCTCTTTGACCTTTCTACTTATTTGCATATTATTCTTTTCTGTCCCTTTGAATATTTGAGCAATTCATGAGAATAAAGCAACAAAGGAAATACGATGAATAAGCAAATTTTATGTAACGAAAGTGCATGATAGATGGAAAAAGTTGATTTTACTTTTGTAATCAACACACAAAATTCACTAAGGAACTTTATCATTTCATCAAGGAATCACTAAGGAACTTTATCAAGAATCAGGAATTTATCATTAGAAATTAAATTTTAATTTATGCTTACTGACATTTGATTTATTTACCTTTCACGATAACGCTTGTAGAGATATTCTGGTTAGCACCTTTTGTCCATATTCTGTCCAGATCTTTACTGACCACATCCAGTTCAGTTTGTCTTTCAACCAGTATTTCATTGACGGATTTTAGACATTCCTGCAAGGCATCTAATGATGAACCAGTAGCTGAAAGTAATACGTGTTCATTTAGATATTATGTACACATAGAAGGCAAATACGTCACGCTTATACAGAATATTCTCTTAATGAAAGGTCGTTATGCATTCTCTCAGCACATCTTTTACTGAAATTTAAGCCAGAATGTTGAACCTGGCTATTTAAAAAATTTATTACGCGGTAATTTAAGTCAAATTTCTTATGGATTACGCTTCCAAAATTTTAGTTTCTGTAATTCCAGCTTGCATAAAATTCATTTCTGTATCTGATCTTCCAGTAGGTTCTTAGAACATTTCCAAAAATAGCTTGTTAATATTAATGCAAAATAAAAAGAACTTGCATAGTATTTATGATCGAAGACTTGGAAAGTTAATTCTAAATAAGCATATAAATGTAAAATGAAATATAAAGATTCGAAATCTAAACTTTTCCTCGCTTCTAAATTTGTGAAGTACCCAACTACCATAAAAGCGTTGATTTTCACAAAAAAATTAATATATTAGCTTATTTTTGTTATTTAAATAAATATCGTACACAATTACAGTTAATTTCGAGTATAGGGAAGTGCACATAATTTGTGTGTGATTATGGCAAAGCCTCGAGGGCTACCTGCCTAAGGAAAGGGATGCATTCGTGGAGGACTTTCTAAGGGAAACTGGCTTGTATATACGTTACACATGGCTGCATGGGCATTTTCGTGGGGAAAACCACGGAAACGACCAGGGAGCCAGCCCGTTCGCGGGATTCGAACTTCGGACCGAACTACCAGTGTTCAGCGATTTTAACGCTCGGCCGCTGGTGAGCCACACATAATTGAGCATTCATGATATATTAATTCTTTTGCAATGCACCGTCTGAAGATAACGAAGCATACACAGCTTCCTTATCTTTAGTCTATGGAAGCAGCTTTAGAGAAGAGGACTTCGGTGATAATTATAGATTTGCTAGTTGGAATTGTCTTGATATTAAAGTCTGCTAATAAATATTAAAGTGAGGTACATCGGTTTATTAAAATTTTGAATTACAAGGAATAGAAAATACAAAATTTAGAAAAAACTTCCTGGCATTTAATTTGGTTTGGTTTAATTACGGCAAAGTACTCAAGGGCTATCTGCTTAAGAGAGGGATGCCTTCGTGAAGATCTTTCTAAGGGAAAGTGGCTCGTATAATGCGCTGCACATGGTGAATATTACGAAAACTCCTATGCAGCCATCCCGTTCTCCGGGATTCGAACTCCAGACCAAACTATCAGTGTTCAGGGATTTTACTGCTCGGTCGCTGGTGAGTCTTTACCTTGCGTTTAATTTTTCGTAATAAACAAATATTTTAAAAACAAAAGGCAGATCTGATGGTTTGGAAGTTGACAATCAGTTGCGGCACTTTGTTTGGATAAATAGAATGTAGCTTATGATCTTGAGCAGTTCGTCAATGATTATTTAGTATTCCCACTCTCAAGCCAGACTTTATTCGGGATTACCACAAAATTCCAATGGTACTTTATATTTTGAAGCGATATTTAGAAGGCATTTCTAAAAATTAATTATAAAACAGTAAGATCGAAATTTTTTTTAAATGGGTAAAAACTAGCAAATTCTTAATTTATGAATTTAGCAACATCAAAATTACTCACTGATAATGGAAACTTTTGTACTATGAAACCAACTACGTTCGCCACAGATTGCAAAAAGCTTTCGCAATAATTTCTAACCGTGTTCCTAAATTTTGTTTTTAGACATTTTAATATAAAGTACATTTAAATATTATCTTGGATTAATCTATTAAGATTTACTGAATAAAAACACACGTACGACCTACAACTTGGAACTAAATGGCACAGTTGGTGATAACTGGAAAAAGAAAACTGCTTTGATGCCAGTTTAACAGCTGTTAGTTACCATCTCAATACAGGAATTAAAAAATTAGCATATTCAATACGAGAATATAATCAAATCTTAACATTTGCTGTGTCATCGAGCAGACGTAGTATATATTGTCAGAGCACCACTTGTGGTAAATTATAGTATACTGATAGAGGATAAAAAGGGCGATTCAGAGGAGCTCAACTGTTATTTCAAAAAAAAATAATTTTGCTCTTATTAAAAGATATGAAAACGTAAACCATTGATTTACTTACAAAATATATTAACTGAACACGGAAATTAGACATTTTGATTGTCGCGTTAATTCATTTGATTTTTTTGATCAGGTTAGAGTGGAGACTTTGAAAATAAGATAATGGACAATATTGATGTTTATATGTTCTTGGAAATTAAGCTTTAGAAGTAGTCGTCTGCGGAATTCACAAATGTTCATTTCGTTGAACATTTATACCAACACAGACATTAAATTGCACTTCCACTAACGTTAGGGGGAAAATATATGCGTGAAAATAATGTATATAATAAATATAATGTGAAAATAATGTATATATATGCGTGAAAATAAGTATATAAGCCGATAATCCCAAAGGTGGGAATCAAAGATTTTCACTAGATTTAATGAACTTTAGATTAAATGAAGTAAAAATGAATAAACATGTATTTCCAGATAAAGAGGCCCTGTAAAACTATTTTTTCAAATGCAGTATACAGGCCATATTCGTATAATGCAAGCATCATTAATATTAAAAGGAAATATGAAATCAGATTACTAAATCGCTAACTCATACCATAGTGAAGAGACATTACAAATAGATTTAGTTATCTGGTAGGCTTTAGTTTTATTATTTTATTTGAACGCCTCGTACTATGAAATCATTTCTTATGACATTTTAAAAATATAAATGAAAATTTCATTAGAATATAAGCTTAATGCTTAGCTAAATGAGCTCCACTCTAATAGAGAACTTCTTCACATGCTAGATGAACCTCATCCGAGAAAATTTCTACAAGATCTGTTCAAACTGACCAAGAAAATTCATTCCCATTGGGAAAATTACTGAAATTAAAGTGACAGTTCAGGTGAGTACTTAGGATTTACTCTTAAATATTTCTGCTCGGTTGTCTGCATTGGCCTTTCCTTGACATCCAACTGGAAATGGCAAGCAAAGCTGCCTTCTCCTTTTCAATTTCCTTCTGAAAGGGATTCCACCTGCTCGTTTCTCAGTGCTGTGCGGGTCGGGTTAGGGCACACTTTTGTTAAAGCGAAAATTTAAGCTGAAACTTTATATACTTAAGCAACTTATGATTATTAACTAACCGAATGACATGATTGCTGCCATTAACAGGTACCACCGAATTTTATCATTGCAGGCCATAAGGTATTGATATTCCGGAATGGCCTAAAAATGAAACGACAAAATATCAAACAAGAATATACATTCCTATTTAACCCTCTGACTACTAACGGGACATAAGATTCCATTGAAAGTTTAACCACTTGAGCTAGAAAGACGTGCCACGCACGTCGAGATTATTTTGTCTGAAACCGCGCGCGAAGTGAACACCACGTCCATAGGCATTTATCGCAAAAATGAAAACGTAGTGTACAGGTCGCCTAACAACGAGATTGTTTATTTCTCGAATTACAGCTCTGGATTGCACTCGCAGACGCGGAGCGGTGTAAATGAGACACTTTACCGCTTGTTATATTGTAGCGCACGGCACCGCAATCGTGAAGTTTAGTCGTAGCGCAAGTGGTTAAAAATTACTTGCTGGGTTAAGTACTTAGAATCTCCTGAATGTTGGGGACCATCTTCCAATAGCTGAAAAATCAAGACGCCGCTGTGCTCGTTGTACACAAGTGAACATAGAGAAAAGAACAATTACCAGTTGCCCAATGTGTAATGTTGGGCTATGCAAAGAATGCTTTACCTTGTACAAATAGGGCGCATCCCCATCCACCTAATCGACAAGATTTTATGACAAGCAAAGGCTGCGTATGCTTTACCATGTACCATACGACGTAAAATCTATTTCGTATAATAATAAAGTTTTCCAGAATAGGTGTGCTTGTAGTACGTCGGTCGCTACGTGTGCGACATATGTATCCCACCATTAACGACAGCTGGTACACATGTTTCCCAGCCAGCCTTTGGCTTGAAAAGTAGTTTGTTAAAATCGAAAATGCTAAATTTACCTTATGTCATATTTTGTTCCCTTGGATAGAAAATTGGGCATTTTTTTTTAATTTGTAGTAATTTTTTTTAATTTGTAGTTTGTGCAAGGTTAAGGCAATGGAACCTAGCAAGAATTTTTGCTTGGATGAAGAATAGTAATCCCTTTACTGAATTTGAAACGCTTCTCAGAAAACATCATACAAAGTTACATTGAGAAAAGTTTTTTAAACGATATTTTGTGCATCCTGTCACCTTGTTTATTTATCGGACATAAGACTGTGCGACTGTTTCCAGTTTCCCTTGTTCAAAGCATCATTTACAAGATTTAAATCCTGTGCCCGCTCTCCTCTCCCTCCAAAACTCATGAGAATTTTAAACAGCATTTCTATAGCTGCTTAGTACGAGTTCTAACCAGCTGATTTTATCATCATGCAAACTATTTCAGATTTTATTTCGAAAGTAAATAAAAGCAGATAATTTAATATAACTAAAATGTCGAAAGTAGTGTTAATAAAACAATTTATGGCGCCGCCTTTCATTCTTAGCTTTGGACTTTATTTACAGCGGAGCATATAAGGGTTTTTTTCTTAAGGAAAGATGCCTTCAGCTGGTGAATCTTCACCCTTTTTCTCAAAAATTTCCCAAAATATTCTTCAACTACATTAATATTAAGTAATTTTAATATATTTACTGAATTCTATGAAAAGAAATCGGTTACACTTACGCATATGAAATGTGTCCAAAGTCAATCTCCATACTGAAGGATAGTATTTGGTTGTAGTAGCAAAGCGGACCAAAGCATAATATGCTTTACCGCTGAACATGACATGTAAAGAGCTTAGTGTAGTTTCAGGAAACTGCAGTACCCAAGATACGAAATAATGACCAGAGGAATCAAGAGTCAAGAACAGCACTTCCTCCTAAAATAATGTGTACAATTTATTAAATAAACTTGTTTCAAATTTACAGAATAAATTTAGAGGAACCCATAAAAAATTTGGAAAGCTCCGAGTAATTTTTAAACTCGGTCTTCAAATACAAATAGAAAGCAAAATCAAAGAAACATACCGCTATCTGTACGAGCGCAGGTTGGCATACTGATATTTTAATCAAAAAATATTGCATTAAATCATATGCAAATAATGTGGCGAAAGAACAGATCTAACTGCAAAACAAGTTTCATTATCCTGAAATTTAAGGCGAAAAATAACGATACGAGACAGAAAAAGTGGCATTTGACATGCCAGGGAATATTGAAATAGAGATGCTGTAACAAATGTACTGAATGTGCAATAGTAATGCACTAGGCTAATTTTTCGCGATAAATAATTTTATGGGAAAGAACTGTTAAGTGACAAAAACTTTCAGTAACATTAAACTATAATTCTATATAGCATGCATATATATATATATATATACACTCATGGTTCAATTTACATACGCATACTGCACATGTAGGGACATATGGTTAATGCATTTATTTCCTTCCATAAATTGTATTGTGCACTTAATTTTGCTTGCTGCATTTCGTTAACATTGTTCTGGCTAAAATTCATCAAATTTCGATTTCAAAGTTTATTATAAAATATGCAAGTATATAATTTGGTCCCAATGAATAAACTTTTTTTTTATCATGAAACGCTTCAGTAGGTTGTTTCATTATACTGAAGTTTTTTCAATAAAACATGCGCTGCATGTTGTAGAAACTCGAATATGTATAGCAGACCAAATGACAGTAGTATACTGCAAATTGTCATTTGCCGATTGTGTTCATGGTGAGATTTTTAGATATGTTCTCATAAATATATAGCTATCTAAAATTGCATGCCTGTTTTACACTTCGCCTCCTAGCTTGCTGAAGTTCTAAAAGTATCTACACCAAAAATATGCACAAAACATTCCAGAAATGATCGTCATGATCGTCAGCAATAGGCATACTAATACGCACCTTTCAGAAATCTCAGGAGCTGCGCTAAAACAGCACATGCATCACATACCTCCTCATTGTTGATTAAATGCAGATAAAATAGTGATAAACCTTACACATAATAGCGCAGACAAAGAAGACATCATAAAAAGTTTTTCATGCCTATTTTTAGTTTTAAAATAATTTAGAAGCTAAATATAATTAGAAATTGGAAGTCTGATTTGCAGTATAAATAGACATTAAAATCTTACGAGTTAAACTCAGTAACTCAACCTAAATTTAAAGCCAAGGAAAACAGGCATATCAGTTTTTATAAAATTCAGCAAGACTATCATAGAATTCATGCAGTGCTATCTTGATTGATACCTATAGGCTTGCAGTGATACCTATAGGCATTGCGAGGAGACCCAAGAAGTACAGGGGTCATAATCGTTGATGGCCATAATTCTCGAGAGAATTGTAGATAAAAGCCCCAGAACAATACAAAAAATCTGTGGCCAATGAAACAATGAACACTATTCTGTAATAAGTTTTTAATAAAACGCAAGATAACATACCATGCGTGTTATAACTATTGCAACTTCTCCATTTGGTAAAGACAAAATGTATACATCAGAAGCACCTGCCGTTTCAGGAATGGTTTGCCACTGAAGAAATTGATCATCTATTAAACAGAAGGTAATCAGTAACATCAAACAGACTTAATAACATTTGATGATAGTTACTCCCTAAATAATTCCACAAATCTAATAGAAAAATCTTCGATTCATTAAAAGAAGCGAAACTTACTTGTCCACCAAAAAATGATTGCATCATCTCTTCCAATAAAGATAATGTATCTATTTCCGGCAACATAAAAATGTAGAACTTTTTGGGGCCCGTAAGTACTGAGGACTTCCCGAAGGACTAACCTGTTTTCCGCTTCTAAAACGAGAGTTTTCATTTTAATCTGAGTAAAACAATTATGTAATAATGCCCAAACTATCTACGATCATTATTGTTTAACAACAGACACATACATAAAACTTAAGATTAACTTTGAATGAATGCTTGTGATAAATTTCAAAAGCATAAGATCAAAATTGGAGAAAATGCAAATAAAGTATTTTCCTTGTTTTAAACTAATTTCTAATGCAGGTTAAAGCTGTGCGACAACTACAAAGATTTACGAGCGAAAAGAAATACGGGCGATGATGAGCAGTGCAGGGTTAAGGGCGCCACCTCTAGCGCTGTTAAAAGTCGGATGTTTTCACTTCCAAAAAAACAAGCTTAGAAAAATATTAACAGAAAAATTTAACGGTAAAAAATGGTCGTTTTGACGTTTTGTACAATAGAAATCCATATTTTAATCATAGCACTAATTTCAACTTGGTAAGTATTAAATAAAAAGTAAAATTTGAAAAAAGTCTAAAAGGTTTCATGTTTTATATAACGCTCAACGGAGCTTTTTTTTTTTTCATTTACACACATGCATGTTTCTAGAGCATTTGGGTAAATATTTCAAAGAATTTCCGATAGAGAGGCTCGTGCGCTGGAGATAAAAATTTTTTATTCCGTGCAGTGTTGCCATTGATTGCTTTGAAATCGTTGAATTTATTTAATCAAAAATTCATTAAAGTTTTAAAAATATGAAATAGGTAATAAACCAAATTTGAAATTCAAAATGCGGGTTTCCAGATGCCCATACTCTTGTGAAGGATCAAGTTATTCAAAATTTAATGGCTTTACAGAGATTTTCTTCATAAAGCGAGAAACATACATGCATTTATGCAGATCCATATTATTTAATTTCTTGAAATATAATACAGAGTGATAATATTTAGTGGCAACAGTTTGAAAAGTGATTAAACGCTTTATGTAATTCCACGCAAAATGCCGTTTCGAGACTGATAGCCCTTTTGGACTAATCTTCATTTGGGCTAAAAAAGTAAGGAAGAGAAGATATGGTTTATAACACTATTTATAGTTATCTAAGGCTTACATTCCCTGTTTGCCAAATACTAGTTTATATGCCTGTTTATTTTCAAGTCTTCTTATATTTGATAAGGTAATAATAATATTTACCAAAATAAATATTTAAAATAGAAAGCTTTTTTTAAAAGTTATGTATGCATTTTACAACATTAAATTATAAATTCGTATTTCACGCTTTCGCTGCATATTCAGTTTCTCATGTTCTTTTGCTTTTTCTAAGTTATGCAATTAATCTTCTAGTTTTTTAAACTCTAGCAAATCTCTAAAAACATAGTACGTTATTTGTTGAAAAATTTCGCATATAAATGAAACCACGTTGTTCAAGTATAAAATGCATCAATTAATATCCAAACAAAAACCTGCGATCTAAGAATTTTAAAGATTGTATTATTTTGAGTAAGGTAAAGCATAACAAGGGTATACATATGGGGATAATTTTATTGCGGACCTTTCATCAGATATTACACAAAAATATAAAAAACTATGAAGCTAGCCCCCCATTCAACTATCAGGAGTAGAAATTTGGGCAAACTGCCATTGTTACATGCTGCTGCTCGACCATACTGTTTTCAGTCACCTGAAAAATTTTGAGAATGCTGATTAATGTAGACTTACTAGAATTGTAGATGTAAATAGGAGAACCAATGCGGTAATTGCTATCATCGTTTACTTCTTGAGCAACAGCCATATAGAGACTTCCATCGAGGGCCCAGCAAGCAACTGAACGTGCACCATATGAAGTACGTGAGGCTATTTCGTCAAACTGAGTTTGTCTCCATTCGTAAAGCCTGCAAAATTTTAATGTCGGGTCTAAAAATATCAATACATTATTTTAGAGGAAGAAGTGTACTAAGAGGAAAAGAGATGATTTTAGAGTTATTTCCGATTTTATGAAGGAGGAAGTCCTGCATGAAAACTAGTTTATTGAGCCTAATTAAATCAAGACAAATAGGAATTTTAAAAGTTTTGAAAATAATTTACAAAGGTGCAATTTGAAAAATTCTCTTGCACAGCAAAGAATTTCTAGATAAATTAAATAAAAAAAATTAATCACTTACACAACTTTAGCTTGGTGTGTAAAGCCTTGACTTACCGGATGCCTGGTAGGTAACTACGACAAGATAATGCACTCTTCGAATTGTTACGAGATCAAAATCAGATTCACCATCCAAGTCTATACTCTGTCGTCCTTCAAGCGTTCGACCAAATTTTACATACATCCTAAGCCTCGTCCTGCCTGTTTGTTGATGGAGAACCACAAACCATTGCTCGTCGTAGTACGAAAATGCCTGCAAGTAATACATCTCATTATTTTTCATTCATTAATCCCTTAAGATACTTTTAGCGGTACTTTACTTTTCCCGCAGTTTCTCAACCGTAGAGAGCCATGCGCTTAGCATATGGTGTGGTGTGTTTAATTATGGCAAAGCACACGAGGGCTATCTGCCTAAGGGGAGGGATGCCTTCGTGGAGGACTTTCTAAGGGAAACTTGCTCGTATACACGTTACACATGGGGAAAACCACGAAACCACCCATGCAACCATCCCGTTCGCGGGATTCGAACTTCGGACCGAACTACCAGTGTTCAGCGACTTTACCGCTCGGCCGCTGGTGGGCCTCGCTTAGCATATGAACGGAAATACTTTTTAAGTGTTCTTCAGCTAAAAATTGACCTAAAATGGTCTAAAGGTATTAGACATTTAAAGAATACTTTTATATAAAAATAAGCTGCTTTATGTGGAATACTTTATTATGCAGCACACTGTTTAAAGAGTTTCCGTTCTGCGCACTAGTACAATTTCGTTTTACAAGATTCTTATGCATATTACTTATTTTTCTTGATCGGCGAATTCTCGATTTTACCAAGCAGAATGTTCACACAATACTTAGTTGAAAGATGCATCATCTTTCGAGGGACAGCCTACTGCAATATTTTGTCATCTTGAAAATCCTTTTTAATCACTCTTCATTTTCCTCTAGACCGTGTTAAACCAACTACTTCTGCTGTCAAAGGATTCGCTACTTTCTAAACATTTTATCTGAAGATGAAGTATCATTCGTAACATTTGCTGAAAGATTGTAATGGAAAAACAGCAAATTACTGTATTGAACATGAGCTGTGCCAGTATGTGGGCTCAGCAGCTAACCTGAAAACTCGTTTATATAAAACAAGGTAGAACCAACCTGGGATATTCAATATTTAGAGAAGAAAAGTTGCTTTTGACGGTGTAAATCCCAACTAAATAAAAGAAGTGATCTGAAACTCAATCTCCCGTAAGCGATGGTTGCGATTCGGGAGACATCTGTCAGACGTCTAGATGAGATATCACTACATTAGAACCTCAAGTCAAATGGCCGAGAAGCGATGATGGGATATCAAAATGAGTGGCGAGTTGCGTAGTTGGAACTTACTTCAAATTTTGCAGTGTTCGCAGTCTCATTATCGTGCATTCACACAGCTGCATATTTCTTTTCATGTTCACATTCCTTTTTGTCAGAGTTCTTGCGATGCGTTTTTTGGCATACTATTCTAACGCTGTTTATGGTTTTTTTACGTGGCCGATCACACAAAACAAGAAAATGGATGTTGTCATACGAATTTTTTAATTTATCCTCTGAAATGGTGACAGTTTAAACGTTATTCATGTCGTACTCGAACGCATATTTTACAGTTTTTGTTCTTCGATTGTTGATTCTTTGAGCCTTGAGATGGTTGAAGACTAGCATAAGTTATTGTACAGCTCCTTGAAATATTAATTCCGGAAAGATTTAACTTTCCATACAATGTTTCACATTCTAACAAATGCGATAAATTCTAACTACCAACAAATGCGATGCTGAATCAGCATTCCTGAATTAAATACATTTTAATTTTGCTTTTTTCTGCGTAGTTTAAATGTTGAGAATTAGCTGCAAAATGGTGGCATAAGGAATGAATGTCAGCTCTTGTTAAAAACTCCAGAGTTTAATTTCAATAATTTTTAAAAAGTGAATAAAATGAGCACCGAGAAAAATATGTCGTTCATCGACAATAGTACACATGTTTTATTTTTCGTCACCTTCTCTCATTCGTTGAAATACAACTTTAATATTTAAATACTTCCTTTTCAGTGTTGGCTTTTTCAAAGCAAAACTTCTAACCTGTCCTAATCTTTAACATAAATAAGCATGCAGTTACCTCCTTTGTTTCCAACCTACAAGAATTTTGAACACCGAGGAAGTTTAAAACCTACAAGACCAATAATTGTAGAATTTTAAAAGCAGTTAAGTCGTGTATACAAATTAAATACTCAATAAAATGGTAGAAATAAAAAAAGGATCACCTTTGCTTTAACGGCAACTTCTTCCTCTAAAGACAAGGCAACAGAATTCGCGACTTTATCGTCGTAGTCCGACAACTGATATAAAATTAAGTGTCCTTGTTCAGTCCCTAAGAGCATTTGATTTTCAGAATAATGACGAACCGGAATCCAAAAAGTCAAATTATAATTTGACAAGTAAGGAAGATATTCTGCAGCTGCACTTCCAACACGCATTTGATTGTCAGAGAATCCTAAAATTAAATTGAAAAATAAATTTTAGATCTGTACCAAATTTTAAACTATATTAAAATTATATACAACATTAAAATTACAACTATCATTATTAAAATCTACCACCTGTTAGGAATTAGATGTAAAATTGTTAACAGTGGTTTTACGCAACCAAAATCAGTTTTAAAAATTACCATTTCGGACTGTTATTTTTCTTAATATTACCATATGCAATATAAATGCTATTAAAGTAAAAAGTGAACATCGGAATTTATAACTAGAAATTTAAGGCGATTTGCATTAAACACATAAATCGCAGTACCAGTGAAGTCTATAAGGTAAATCTAGAAATTAGCATCTTCATACCTTTCGCCCTGATTAAGATTAAATGATTATTCTATTTTCATATCCATTTGGATTACGAGGGTAATTTTCTAAGACAGAAAAAAAATTATGCTGATACTGATCCTTAAAATTATCAAAGTACATACAATCCCGAATTCGTTAAGGAAGTATCTTAAAGTAAAGCAATCCGATAGTCATTAGGAATTAAAACCCCAGTGTGAAGACTCAGCGCTTCGTGATTTTAAGCTCTCGACCAGTCGTCCCATCTATGCCCAAAACTAATACTCTTTGTTAAACACAATGAAGTAAAACCTACGGAAAATGTTTATTGGTTTCACTTTTCGATTAAATAGTGTTTTCGATAAAGGAGCGCTATTGCCAATTAACAATGTGAAGATTTTTATTTTTCTTCTATATTATGAAAGTTTACTTCTCGGTAAATATACTGAAATATAAGAACGGGCTACAAAATAAATATTGCCATAAAGTCTAAAATTTTATAACAAGGAATTGCTAGCTCTCAATAAGAACTATTGAGAGCCATTCTAAGAACTATTCACTTATGAAAGATCTGCAATAACATAATGCATTGAAAATTGCCCTCCAGAAAGTCTAAAATTAGCTTCTTTTCATCAGTAACAAGAAAAATATTTCATGGAAGAAAATGTATGCAATTTTCCTAACTTTTATTTAAGTCCAATATTTTGCATTGCATATCGTGGAATAAAGTAATTACAATAATTATACACGATTCAATATCCAAACCGTGCAATTCAGCAGTAATAGCAATATTGAAATGCTTAAAAATTTTCAGCTTCATTTAAAGTAATTAAAAACACTAATGATAAAAAAATCGAAAGTAGCCTTGTATTAACCTCAATCTTAGCCTATAGATTACATTTTCAGGACAAATACTCCTAATCAAGTCTGTTTTCTTCCCTGCAGACTTCTGTATCATATTTCTAGCAAAATCTAAATTAAAAATTAAATCTTTTTAAATACAGAGGAGATGCAAAAGGGAAAGGATGCCTCTGTGGAGGATTTTCCGAGGAAAATTGGGTCATAATTATGTTACGTAAAGCGAAAATCACGAAAACAGTTATGTAGCCATTAGAACTTGGGCCCAACTACTAGTGTTCAGAGGTTTTTATTTGGATGCAGCTGAGCGTTTAAGTTAATCGCCTAAAATTGCGACGTAAGCGAAATACCCAGCGATTTCGCAGAAATAAAGCTCTTACGTAATTCAAACTTAGATGTTACTCATTAAAAGCTTTAAACATGCGTTTTCAAGTATAAATGTTATTCTTGCGAGTTAGCAATGACAAGGCTCTTAAACTGCATGGCATTTTACTAATTTTTTTTCCATTCCTAATTGATGACGATTTGCTGAGTAACAGGTAGATGAAATTATTCCACATCAAACAAAGAGGTATTAGCATCTAGCTGGTAGTAAATATTCCTAAAATTACCACTAGGAATAAAAATGGAAAATTTACGCTAAATGTTGTGTTTAAAAACTAGCGTAAACTTTAATACAAAATCTTTCGAACGCAATCTTCCAATTAGATTGAAACAATTTATTCTCAGTCGTAAAAATTACCTCCAGATTTCTAATTAAAACATATGTAAAATCTATTCAAAGTAGATGCTAGTAATAGACACAAGAAAGGTTTTCAAAATAACTTACCGTTATCAAAAAGCTGTCTTTTCTTTCTGATTCGTGATCCTTCCAGCATATGGTGAAGTTTCAGCTTCAGTTCTGTAATCTTTGGAGCCAAACTGGAAATTGAACTCTGGCTTTCTTCGCTACACACAGGACGCGTCATAACAGTGAATAGTGCAGTACAGATAAGAACAGCGGTCAGTGTGGGAAAAAGCATGATTCCTGAAATGAATTTTTCAGGGTTAAATAAAATTGCTGCTATAGTGCAAGTAAAGTCTTTTCGATTGGATGGAAACAATTCATACACATTAAAAAAAGGGGGATCCCATTTCGAAAAGGGGTATTTCCTTACCACTTGTTACAGGTTTCCATGGTTTTCTCATTTTTATTAAGTATTTGGTTTATTAAATGATAATAGTAAATCACTTGATGGCTATCTACCTCAGAAGATTAGTTTTTTATTCGATTATGACAAAACATACAAAGGATTTCTGCATAAGAGAAGGATACCTTAATGGTTTTGTTTATTTGATTATGATAAAGCACTCGAGGACTGTCTGGAGAAAGTATGTCTTCGGGAAGACTAAGTGAAACTGGCTCGCGCAGCCATCCCGTTCGCTTGGAATCGAACCCAGGTCGAACTACCAATGTTCAACGATTTTACCACTCGGCCGCTGGTGAACACGGATACCTTACTTGAAGAGGTGCTAAGAGAATCTGGTTCACTTTACACACGAGAAATCCACGAAACCGTTAATACAGCCAACCCGTTCACCTCAAACTGGGCAGCCATTCGGCAACTGTTGGGCACGCATTTTAGAGGGAAGGTGAAACATGCAAAGAATTGTGCATTCGGAGTGAACCTACCCCGTTTTTACAGCTCTGTAGCCCACCTGCGGTCGAGTACATAAAATTGTTGACATTGGCAACTCGTGCCAGGTTCGGTTTGTGGCTTCCTTTCTCGAAATGTGAATGCGAGACAGTTTCCTCAAAAACATTCTTGATGAAGGTATTCTTCTTAAGATGGATTTTCTCGATATGCTTCGTTATAATCAGTTCGCCAATTTACTGATCTGCCCATAAAATTAATTTTTGTCCTCAATGAAATGAAAAAGCTACTGCTTTAGCTTCAATCATCGATGTAATGTAAAAGAGTCAACATCATATTGACTACTCGGTAAAATGCATATTTATAAAGACATTGTCATCTTTTTATGGAATTTCTGAACCAAAACCGAATATATACGTACGTATATCTTATTCTCATTGCTATGTTATATATCTAAACAATGATTACCTGCTACGCATTCATCTCAAAGAAAAGTCTCGCGAAATTTTGCTAAAAATTCAACATGCAGGTAATTTATTGCAATCAATAACCGCAGCTTTCTGTATACTAAAAAGTGACTTCCCAGTCATATTTGTTAGAAAACATAATTCAAACAAAACTCATTTATTTTTACTTTCCATTTCTTCCGCCCCTAACCAGAGGTAAATATTCCTTTAATATTCTAGATAAACATTTCAACGATATGCAGATATAAAAAAGTCATTTAAAAATTTATGAAAAATTTCTAACAAAATATTGCAAGTTCGGTCTATTTAATTATGGCAAAGCATTCGAGGGCTAGGAGGAGGGAAGTCCTCGTGAAGGACTTTCTAAGAGAATCTAACTCGTGTATACGTAACACCTGGGGAAATCTACGAAAACGCCTATGCAGCCAGCCCTTTTGCCGCGATACGAGCCCCGGAACGAGCTATCAGTGTTCACAGGGGCGTATCTAGAGGGGGGCAAGGGGGGCATCTGTCCCCGGGTGCAGAATCCAAAGGGCGCCAAACTGATGTTACGACATTTTAGAATTAAATGTTTTCCATCCTTGGCAAGAGGTAGGGGGCGCGAAATTTTCAGTTATCCCTGGGCGCTGAAAACTCTAGCTACGACTCTGAGTGTTCAGCAACTTTACCGTTCGGTCACTGGTAAAGTATTAAGATGCTGGCTAATTGATTATGGTAAAGTATTTAAGAGCTATCTGTCCAAAGGAACGCATGCCTTCATAAAGAACTTATAAAAAACTTTTCTCGTATTCACGTTACACACGGGAAAAAGCCCTTCACTGTATATTCGAACCTGGATCGAACTATCAGTGCTCAGCAAGCTTATTCATTCTGCTATTAAGGAGGCAAAAAACTGTTCAAGAACTTAACAGGATTAAATTTATTGGCAAATTAAACATTAAGTAAACTCAGTTTTCCATAATAAGAAAAGTTTATAAATTGCGAAGAGTTTATTCGCGTCAAGAAATAAAATCACTCTTCGAGCAGCTTATAATAGATTATTCTGTACTATATCTAATATATGTTATTAGATACATTTTTACCAATTATACAATGGAACAAGTAAGTAGATCTCAAATTAGATATTAAGTTCTTCATACATTAATGCATCAGTGTTTAAAATTTTCATTTCAGTTATAAAGTTTAAAAAGTTTCAGTTGTAAAGTTTATAAAGTTATTTCAGTTATTTGTTTACTCTGAAACAAATAATAATCATTAAAATGATTTTAAATAAATTTTCAAACCTGTTTTTGATTAATTATGCTCGAAAAAATTACTTTTGTGCACGGAAAGCACATGTGTGCATCCCTTCGTTGCAATTAGTGAATGTTCATTAAATGCAATATATACATAAATATCATGCACATATACAATGTTAATAAAATTTAAACTTCACATTTTATTGCTATATTTTTATCCAAGCCAATGCATTACAGAACATAAATTTCAAGAGCTAATAATTGCTTTGTTGTATTTAAGTACCGATAAGCAGCAAAATCGGAATTAACAAAGTAATTTCAACTCACCTAGAGGGCGAATATCTGCGCAAAGCTTCATTTCTTCCAAACTGTCAAAGAGAAGTGCAATCAAGAAAGGAACAATCACGTTTTACGTAGATGTTTTAACGGTTTAGGAAATCATGAAATTTCTTGGGTGCATCAGTTAGCAATTTTTGTTGCCTCCTTTACGGCACTTTTTCTCTACTGGGGAGGTTTTTCAGTAATCATTTCAAGCACTTAACATAGGAATGTTTTAATACCTAATTCATGGTAAAATATATCAAATAATTGCTATATGTACGCTGAATAAAATATGAGTTAATACAAAAATATCTTTGTAGCGCACAGGTGCAGATTTGTGTTTTTATACACTCAAAATGTTATTAATATTGTTTATATTCACATAACAGAACAACAGTACTAATGCTAGTTCTTATCATTTTTTATTTATTTTTATACTGTGTTTTATTAAATAGGAATAAGAAAATCTAACACTTCAGCTTAAGAAATTTCAAATAAATGTATATTGGGATCCGTGTAAACCTTCATGTAAAATGCTTAAATACATATGTAATTTAAAATGAGTTAAATTGTAACCATTCAAAACAACTTTTGAACTAAAGCACTTTCACAAGAATATAAATATGAGAGTTTTAAATAATAATCTACTCATTTGCGTTTTGTTATTTATACGTACAAATTATCAATAATAGGCTTATTTAATGTTTAAAACCAGAAGACTGTAAGTGAGTAGTGTACCAATTATTGAAGGTATCATACTTCTTGTAAAATGCAAAGCTCCCCAAGCATTCAGAATGATCACATCAATTTTCTTCAGTTCTTTGGCAACTATAGACATTTCGCTGGATGTCGAATACTTAAATGCAGAATGAAAGGTTATTATATCGTAAAGATGTCGGAATGCCGCTTGGTTTCGCTTCTGTTCTACTGAAACTTCAGCTGCGAAAACTGTTATGATGATAGGTACAAAAGCAGAAGGAAGACAAGCAGATATAATATCGACGATTACGAATGGTGTGAAATTTTCCCTCTTATACAGCAGGAAATATCCTATTACACTGAAAGTTTGAGCAAAATACAGAAGAAGAAGAATGAAAGATGGCACTGAAAATGCCTCTTGGAAACACTCAACCATATTAATGATTTCTGAATATTCTTTTCGCAATGGAAAATTTATTTTATCAAATGTCTCTTCTGATATTATCGTTTCAATCTTCTTTCTGAACAGGGCGAATGCTTTACTATATCGTCGACAAAGAACGCAATAAAAAATCACTACTATATTAGCAAAGACGGGTGACATGATATCAAAAGCGAGAAACTTAAAAAATAAGTAAATGTTATTCCATAGACTCATATCGAAAACGTTAGGCCTGTTATAATAAAAATACGGACAATATGTTTCACAGCCGTGAATATTTGATAAGCTTAACAAGAGACAAGCACGAAAAATGGGGGTAATAAAATTTATGGTCAATAATAAGTTTATGAAATAAATTTCATATTTTTTGTTATAACTGAACTTTAAATGGTTTTGCAATAAACTCAGAACGTATTTCAGGGAACTTCGCTTGAAATATATTCCATGCCACAAGATTATAGCGAAAATGTTCATCAGAGCATAAGAAATCGTTACTTTTATATACTGGTTGCGGTTATCAATTTCAAACATTGACATTATAATAACATCTAGGGCGGTGAGATGACAGAACGCGGGAAATATTACAGCGTAGAAATCTTTTTTACGCTGTAATATCTTCTCGGGTGTTGCTTCTTCTACACAAACATTTATGCCAAACAATTTAAGAGAGTTCAACAAAATACCATATTCAAGCATATATGGTGAATTTTCTTTTTTTGAAACGAATTTCGAGTCAAATATCTTTAACGTGTTAGACATTTTAAAACTCACTGGGAAAACAACCAAAAATTTTAATAATGGATATCTCACTATTCATTTTCTCTTTAAATTCCTCCCTTGCATTATGAAATCATACAAATCATAAATACTTCTCTTATTTAAAATATAAAAAAATTCGATTATGTGAGAGTTACTGCTTAAAAGTTCAGGAGATAGCTATTTTGGTACTCTAACATAATAATATTTTATGATGAAGTGTTAAAAATACAACACACATTATTTAATATCCTTTAAAATAAGTTCCTCAAAGTTAACGGAATTATTCTAGCATATCAAGACCTGTAGCTGTAGATAAAAAAACGCTGTTACATTGTTTTCAAAAGCCATTTTTCAGACAAATTCACTTCAGAAAGTAAATGAAATCGGTTACTTGAAAATATTATGCTATGCATTTCTACCTATTTTTTGAAACTCTTCTTTCCAGAAGACACGTAGAAACAATAATGATGTTATCTCAGAAAAGATGTGTACATTTTAAAAGATATTACCATCGATCTTCTCTGTAAAGGTGTTAAAGTCGATTCTGAATTCTTAACTTTGATAGAACCGTTTGCGTGCAAATTCGCGGCATTTTAAATCAGAATGAATTTATCTTTACTACAGAAACTGCAAACATCGATTCGTGAAAAATGCATGGGAAATGAAATATATCGATCTCTGGTTTTCAAAGACTGCTGTCTAAACCCATAATACCTAACAACCTTTTGAAAAGTAAATAACTAGGAAATAACTGCAAGATATAACTCCGCCTTAAGCATAAAAATAAAACTTACGATCAAATAATACACTATCATTTATCTTATTAGGTACTAAATACAAGACGGACTACTCTTTAATTCCCGTATTTGTGCGGGCATGTTAGTATAGCATTTATAGTATATGTAGCAGCACACTTAAAAGAAATGAATGCAATAGATTTTCATTATTAAGCAAACCTTTCTCTCAGAATGTAAAACCTCCATTATGTTAGATAGTGAAAATTAAGAGTAATTTTTAAATAAATTTGTAATAATACTGAATTTAAAATTGATACCCAGAAAACAAGAAATTTGTTTTTTTAATTTATGGCGATGCTACTAACCTCATGTATTGGCTTTTCTTAGTAAATTTTGATAGTCGTTTAAAGCACATGAATAAGAAAAGGCATGAAAAGTTTTTGGAGCATTACTAAATTAAAATACCTAAAATTAGCATAAATTTAGCGAGGCTAATTCAACAAATTTAGCAAGATTGATGATAATGTTGCACCCCTTTTTTTCTCATTCTAAGTATTAATTTGAATTCCTTTAGAATATTTTCCTTCATATCAGAGAACAAAAAAATCTATTACTTATTTATTGACATAAAATGTTGATTTTTGTATTTACTCGTACAAACAAATATACACTTTTACACTTCAAGGAGTACGTAATCCAGCATTTATGTTTTCATTACGAAAGGTTTTCCAGAGTGGTTAGACTGTTTGCTTCTATCTATAGCACTATAACAGAAGCCAAAGCATTTGTAAAGTCATAAGTTGTTTTTTTTTTGGGGGGGGAGGAGACCTAAAAAAAGTGTGCAATGTCCGCCGGGACATGAACCTGGACATCTCATCACGAAGGCATGCGAAAAATGAGGGAGAAAGTACGTTATATACTTCCCCTCTTAAAGGGCGATTGGGGATTAAGGGGACCCAATCTCCAAATCCTGGAGGTGAAGAATTATTGTCCACCACCTTTTAGTTCGGGCACTATTGTAGTGCCATGTTTTTTTTTTTTTTTTTTTTTTTTTTTTTTTTTTTTAAGGAAGAGACATAAAACATGTTCAGTGCCCTCGCCGGTACTCGAACCTGGATCTCTCGAATACATGCTGAGTTTGCTACCGTTACACCACGAAGGCATCAGGAAATGATGGAGGAAATATATTACACATTGTATGTATAATCTTCGATTAGGATTTGGATAACAGCAAAATAGACAAGAGCTAAGCCTAAGCGGAGGGGTATTTTTGTGGAGAATTTCTTAAGTGAAGGACTAGCTTGAATTCTTTGTATACATGAGAAAGACCACGAAACCTTTCATGTAGCTACCCGTTCACGAGGATTTGAACCATTTATTAATTAATGTGCAATGTCGTGTTTGCTTTGCTAGCATAAAATGTTCACTACGTTGGAGACTGTTGGTGAATTATCACTAAGTCTTTTAAGTACTACAAAGGCCGAAGAAGGGTGTAACAAACTATTTATTACTTCAAAAAAAGTTCACAGTGGGCACCAACTCGTGCTTACAAAAGCCAACACTTTTGGCTTAACTCGGAAGGTAATGAATAACTTAAAAATCAATAAAGTATAGCCTAACGACTTCACAGTTTAATTATCGCGCAAGCTGGCTCTGACTCTAAAGTCGGCGTAAACAAGCTTAATGGCAAGACTAACTCAACGTCGCAGAATTCTAATTACTAGAGAATCAAAGATAGCACGTGGCTTTCATGCAGGCGGAACACGCTCCTCTCGAATATTGTGCGCAATGAAATTTTCATTCTGGCAGAGAAATAAAATGAGAATTGAAAGGGAAGGTATTTTAACTTAAAATAATAGATGAAAAGTTTAGAAAATTAAACAATACAATTGAAACAAAGCTTTTTTAACACAGCTATCTTAAATAAACAGCTATTTCAAGCAAAAAAGTATTCAAAAGCTTTCTGTCGTAAGAAATGTTTTAAATAAACTCAGTAATTAGGGTTTTAAGATGCAACGCATAGTAAATTTTGAAATAAAAGTATGTAGAGTCATTAGGTTATTTTGAAGCAGGAGTACATGAAGAATGAGCAATGCCCTCGCTGGGACTAGAACCTGGACCTCTCGAATACGCTTTCAGTGTGCTACCGTTACACCACGAAAGCATGCTGGAAGGACGCAGAAAATACTTTAAGTATATTTAATTACTATAAAACGAGATAAAAAGCTTATTGCCTTATTAAACTAATTTATTTTGCCGTCTTTGTTTTTGGCCTGTTTCACTCTGCTAGTAATTGAAGCAACTAATACACTGCCCTCCAAATGTTACGGAACAGCATGTTTTCCAAAGCTCACCATTACAAAAATGTCAGTAACATATGAATTCACAATTTATATCCATAATAGTAAT